TCCATAACTAAGGTCTGATCTCAGCACAGCCTATGTGAAGAACTACAATCCCTTCTTTAAAAGGATTGGTCAATTCAGAAGAAATGGAACATCTCCTAGGTACATATGAATTACCAAAACTGAACCAAGAAGACTTTAAAAGGCTGAATAATCCAATGACAGGCAATGAAATCGAAGCAGTATTACTACTAATAAAATAACAACTAAGAAATGCCCAGATCCTGAGGGATTCAGTGCAAAATTCTACAAGAACTGGAGTGAAGATCTAATGCCATAGATCATGCTCTTTAAAGAAATTGGAAGGGAAAGAGTACTCCCAAGGTCTTTTCCTGCAAGCTAGCATTACCCTGATTCCAAAACTAGATAAGCATGTATCCAAACAGGGGAACTACAGGCCAATCTCTTTAATAAACATAGATGTAAAAATTCTCAGCAAGATACTGGCAAACAAAATGCAACAAATCATCAAAAAGACCATACATATATTATAACCAAGTGGGCTTCAACCCAGGTATGCAAGAATTGTCCAATACATACAAATCAATAAATATAACACATCACATAAACAGAAGTAAGGGCAAAATCACATTACCATCTCAATAGATGCAGAAAAATCCTTTGACAAAATCCAACATCTATTTATGATTTTTTAAAAACTTGAATAGATAAAGAAGAACCTTATCTCTATCTGACAAAAGCCACATATGCCAAACAAACTGCCAACATTATATTAACTGGGGAAAACCTGAAGAACTTTCCCTGTAAAATCAGGAATGATACAAAAATGCACACTATCACTATTCCTGTTCAATATAGCACTCAAAACATTAGCCAGAACAATTAGGCAAGAGGAAGAAATAACAGGAAAAGAAGTTGAATTAACATTATTTGCAGACAGCATGATCCTCTACATAAAAGACACAAAAAATTCCACAAAAGGATTCCTACAATTAATAGGCAAATTCAGTAGCATAGCAGGACACAAAATCAACACACCCACAAATACTAGTGTTCCTCTATACCACCAGTGAACTCACACTGAGAAAGAAATCAGGAATAATACTGCTCCCAATAACATAAGGAAAAATCAAATATTTAGGAATTAACCTAAACAAGGAAGTGAAAGAGCTCAACAACAAAAACAACAGTACATCGAAAAAGATCAAAGAGAATAACAGCAAATAAAAAGATTCCTGGTTCCTGGATATGCAGAACCAATATGGTCAAAATAGCCAACTTCCAAAACTGATACACAGATTTAACACAATTCTATAAAAATAGCATTCCTCACAGAACTAGAGAAAACAACCCTAAAATTCATACGGAACCTGAAGAGATCCGGAATAGCAAAAGCAATCTTGGGTAACAAAAGCAAAGCAGAAGGCATCACAATCCCAAACTTCAAGATATACTACAAAGCTGTAGTGATCTTTAAAAATTGCACAAAACAGACATGGGGATCAGTGGAACAGAATAGAGAATGCGTAAAGAACTCCAGGCACATTCAAATATCTGATCTTTGACAAATTGGGCAAAATCATACACTGGGAGAAAGATAGCCTCTATAATAAATGGTGATGGGGAAAATGGCTATACAAAAAATGGCTATGCAAAAGATTGAATCCAGACCCTATCACCATGTACTAAACTAAAATCAAAATGGAACAAACATCTAAATGTTAAAACAGAAACACTTAATCTTCTGAAAAATAAAATAGGAAAAAATTCTTGGAGACATAAGTATAGGCATGGACTTTCTGAACAGAAGCCCAATTGTTCAAGAAATAACATCAAGAAACAACAAAAGGCATCATATCAAATTAAAAACTTCTAAACAGCAAAAGAAACAACCAACAGTGAAAACACAACCTATAGAATGGGAAAAACTTGACCAGCTATTCCTTGGACAGAGGAGTAATATCTAGAATATGCAAAGAACTCAAAAAGTTAGATCCCCAAAATAAAAAACCCATTCAACAAATAAATGACGGAAATGAAGAAACACTTCTCAAGTACAAGTGGGCAGTAAACACATAAAAATGTTGAACATTTTACTCTAAACATTAGAGAAACAACATAGAAATCTAGTGAAATATGGAAATTATATATGTATTGGTCACCTCTCCCACCAGTGGGACCAAATACTTGATATACACGAATTAAAGGAGAAGTTTATTTGACTAATGGATTCAGAGGGTTCAGTCCATGGTAGGCTGGCTCCAAGGCAGAAATGGCATGGTATGAGGGCTGTCAGAGGAAAGCTGTTCACCTTGGGACAGCCAGGAAACAGAGAGAGCAGGAAGTGGCCCACTTCCTCAAACTGTGTACCATCTGCTAACAGCACATTCAGCTATGAACACATCAATGGGTTAATGCACTGGGATTACATCACTCTCACTATCTATTCACCTTCCAAAAGCCTCACCTCTGAACACATGAGACTTTTGAGGGCCATTTTAGACCCAATCCATAACAGTGTAGGATCAAGCCTGGGTAGTTCCAGAAGACAGAAATAAATTACATGAATAGGTAGTACAGACTCTCACAGAATTTATTTTTATGACACTGACATCTCTTCCTAAACTCACTGTTGTGGCCTCTTGTAGTTTTTTATGACTACCTAACATAAAATAAAACATTTGAGTCTGGCTCACAGATGGGTTGGCACATTATTTTGGTGGTAGGTAACCCTGGACTCTGCTGCACTTTAGCCCCATTCATGGATGGCTCTAAGGAATAATTCCCTGTAGAGAGATCTTTTCAGCTGGCAAAGCTTGGAGCAGCACACATTATTATTCACTTTATATACAGAGAAATGGCCTGAAGTAAACAAATTTATAGTCTCCCAAATTTGCCTTTGTTGCCTACTGTGATTCTGCCAATATCCACAATCACTGGAATGATAGCCATTCTCCCAACCTACCTGCAAGGTGACAATATACACATGACCACGGAATATACTGACAATCACAGATAGTGCCATATTCCTCATCATTTAGGTGCCTTCTTGGGATTGGGGTGTTGTCATATTGGATATGATAAATACACTGAACCAACCAATAAAAAGTGCACTCAACAGCTCAAGACTTGCCTCCAGAAACCCACGAATGGGAGCACGATTGGCCCATCTTATCACTCCCAATGACCCACTTGTAGAATTTGTGTTTCCTGCCTCTCAAATGTGCAATAATTGGCTCCCCAGAGGTTGAGTGGAGGATGCTTCCACCAGGATACATAGGATGGCACTCATTGAGCTTAAAACTCTTACTGTCACTTGGTTGCTTTGGGCTGCTCATGGCAGTGCAATAACCTTCAAAGAAAGGAGTTATTATATTGATGGGATAATCAACTGTGATTAGCAAAAGGATCTGGGATTGTTGCTACACAACATCACCAGGAAGGAAGATATCTGGAATCAAAGCAGTTCATCAGGGCTTATCTTAGTGGTTCTGTACCCAGGGATAAGTTGAATAGCAGCCATGGCCCAACTAGACAAAGAACATAGAGACAACCTAGATCAGCTGATATGCTAGCCAAGATTGAGGGAATGGGTAGTGGAGGAGGGAGCTGATTAATACAGGTATGGTCTTAACATCAGTGCATTAGTGGAAACTGAAGCTTATTACACTAATTCTCTTGTATTAATTCCTTGTAGAGATCGTGGCTGGCATCACCTTGAAGGGTCCTTAGACTGGTTTTCCCTCTTCCATGTTTCATTTTTCCTTTTTGCTCCCCGGGGTCAAACTTATGCTGCACATAAGCCTTACTTCAAAAACAATCCAGGTTGGGATGAAAGAACCGGGGAATTATATTTTTGGATACATAAGTATGAGTCATCAAATGGAAATGTCAGAGGGAGAAAGTTAATACACAAATCTGGAGTTCAGGGAAGAAGCCTAGCTTCTGAAATGCAATCCATTTCCCAACTTTGCAGAGAACTATAGAATACAAGTAAACAAAAGATGGATAATAGGGCCAAAAAATACATGCACTTGTCATAGTAAGTGCCCAGAGTAAGCATTCTGGGACTAAGAAGAAAGAACCTAAGGAGTCTTTGTAAAGTTGGACTAGATCCTACTCTTAAAAGGGAAGACATTCAATGAAAGTGAAAAGTATTCCAATTACCTTGGCTAGAGCATACTAATAATCTCAGTAACCAAGAGTTCTCTACTGTTTCTGCTAATTTTCTTCTCTGCATTCTATCTTCAGACAAAAGTGAAAGGTACTTGCACAGCCTATTTGTCTCTCAGTAAATCCGTGCTGGAAAGGTTACTCCCTCATTTGCATTCCTCTTGCCCGGTCCTATCACATTGTGAACTCCTTTGGGGTAGCAGTCATGCCTGAATCACCTCTGTACCTGGAATCCAAGCGCCTGGCATAAAGGAGGTGCCAGAAAGTGGAATCAATGTCACCTACCTCGAAACCAGCAACATTGGCATCATCTATACCTCTCAGACTTAAGCCTGATTAACAAGATCATTCTTGTTAAAATGTAGGTTCTGATTCAGTAGATCTGGACTCAGAAAAATCTAAATTTCCTATTAAAAAAAGAAAAAACCTTCATGATGGCCAAGCAGGACGGCTGCATCAGCCATGGTTCTAGATCTTAGCTGTATAGTAGAATAATCTAAGAAAATAATAAAAGTATTGATGTCTAGGTCCCACTCCCAAAGATTCTGATTGAACTGATTTAAACTCTCCAAGTTTTAAGTCACGAGGATCTAGAATTAACTGAGCTTGACATATGCAGAAAAGAGAGAATATTTAATCCTCTTTCTTCTTAAATGAATTGCTGCAAATATCAGAATAAATCCTACCAAGAAAACACAAATCACCAAATTGCCCCCAGGCTCCAAGTCTGTCTCCGCCCTACAGAGGCCCCGCCCCTGCCTCTCCTTGACCCTCCCCCCGCTCCTTACGCCCTCTGTGGCGCCACGCCCCCTCTGCGACTATTGGCCGCTCCCTTTTCCCGCCTCCTTTCCTTCCTTCTCTAGGGGTCAGCTTCCGGGGTGGTGTTGGTCACGTGTCCGGATATGGGAAGTGGTGGGGAAATTGTCGCTTCCCGTTCACCTTTTAATTGAGGGGCACATCCTAGTGGCTGTGGCCACCGCGCCCCATCGCGTCTCCGTCTTGGAGGATCCTCCTCGGCACAGCCGGGCTAGGTCCGGCCTTGGGGTAAGCTTTCGGCCCCTGCTGCTGAGTGCTCTCGGTGGTGGCGGCGGATTGGCGAGTGCCAGAGTCTGAAGCTGGCCCTGGGTTCTGCTGCTTGTTCCACGCGAGGTGTAGGGCACCGCTGCTTCCCAGGTCAAGCCCACCTTCCTTTCCCTCCCAGTCTGCGCAAGGTGCAAAGTCCGTGGCAGCGTCCTCTATGCCTTGCCGTCCTGGGTTGTCAGAGAGTGTGGAGCTAGGGAGGCTACCCTTTTACCTCCCTCTCCCGTTCCGCCCATTGGATCCGAATTTCATTTGTTCCTAGAAGCCCAAACCGTACACTCTGGCTCGGACTCAGCGAGGAGGGCGTGACAGTGCTTTCCCCTTTGTCCACACCAACCTGTTTTTCTCGTAAGTGCGTTTCCCAGTCTCCGTGTAGTTTGCTCTTCTGCTCCATTTCTTAAGATGTCTCAACAGCACTCAGTGACCAGCTGTTTGTCACGCGTTGTGAAGGCCTAATTGAGTTTAAGGAAACAAGACCAGTGTTGAGGGACAGTTGGTTAGCAGCCTCCAGAGCGTGGTCTGGCATGGGTTCTTAAACCTGGAAAATAACGTTGGGAGACCTCTAGTGATTATTTACCGACATACAGAAAAGTACTGTACTGTGAATCCTTACGTAATAAGTATTAGACCCATAGGGTATAATGCTGCGGAAGCGTGGGTCTTTGCATCTTCATGAACATGATTACTGTTCATCTAGAACAGTGCCAGGTACGTACTTAGTAGACTTCAATATTTGCTGAATGATGAATAATCATGTACTGTTTTGCTTTCTGCCTAACTTCTATGAGGTGTATCCAATCCTCTTACCCCTTACCTTGCACTCAATCTTTGCCCCTACCATCACCACCACCACCACCACTACCGTGATTGAACCCAGGACCTTTGCTCTGAGCTACATTACCAATCTCTTTTTAAATTTGTTTTGTTCTGTTTTTAGCCCAGACTGGGCTTGAACTCGGCAGTCCTGCTTCACCCTCTCAGAGTGCTAGGAATGTAGACATATAGTCGTTTCTTTTAACCAAAGAGAAACATTGGTAAACGTCGGCCGCTCTTCATTTGACCAGTTTTTACTGCTCACCTCAGGTAACCTGAAGAACTTCTCTAGCCCTTTTCATTCTTTCTCTTTTAAGCAGGCTCCGGAGCTCATGAATTGTTTAGACAGCAAATGCTAAATTGTTTACTAAATGTATTAAGTGCTGTGGAAATTTAGAGGTGAGATCACTTTGGATTAAGATCTTTATTGAATAAACTTCATATAAACCGTGAAATGTAATTATGGTTTGGGTAGGGATGACATATTTCCTGCATGGAAAAGTGCCTAAGCAAAGGTTGAAAGCCCCAAATGAACAAAGTGATGTGAGTGGAAGATTTGCGTTGAGAACATTAGGAAAATGTTGAACAAGGGTGTGGTGTGATGAAAATTATGTTTCAAGATTTTTTTAGAGTTGTAGAAACTTACAAAGAGATAACCAGGTGCTGTTGCATAAAGTTGCTATGAATCTTGGTTAGTGTGTTGGCAGTGGAAAAAGAAATTATGTTCAGATGAGGGATAATCACAGAATGTGTTAGCAAATTTCATGTTGACAAGGGAGGAAGGAATGAAGTATGACAGATTTTCAGCATGGACATTTGTTTACAGATGTGGAAGCTGGAAAGGGAATATTACAGAGCTATAGCTGTTACATTATTTAGTGTAATCATGTTAGTATGAATATTTGTTAAATGTGTCTACTATTTTGCCAAGTTCTAGGAATATAAAGCTGAATAAGATGTGGTTCTTGTCTAGAAATAACTGCTTTTAATTGGGGAGAAATGCAATTAGCTAGAAAACACAACTCACAAGTGCTGTTATGAGAGTAGAGGGGAAAAGTTAGAGATGTAAAAAAGGAATTATTTTAGGGGAGGGGACTACTGCAGAGAAGATGGGACGTTTTAGCAGGATCTTGAGGGATGAGTTGGAATTTCCAGGGAGAAAAGAATTCTAGGAAAAGGAAATTACATGAACAAAACCCTAGAGGTAGAAAAGTAAACTGGCCAGAGTCCAGTGTAACTAAGACATAGGATGGAATAGAACTTTTCACATAGTGTCTAGGCCCTAGTTCATGTTAAGGGTTTAGTTACACGGGAGGTTCCGTAATAGATGGAGGTGAGAATGGGTGAAGATGCAGAGAGATGGAAAAGAAAGCAATTGAGAAGAATTATAATTCCTGATTTCTATATTAGCTGCAGGAATAGCTGTTAAAGAATGATAGGGAGAAGGCTGACACTATAGAGTTGAGAACGAGTTGAGGACTGAAACAGAGTTAACAAGAATCTGCACCAGCAGTGGTGGGGTATGAGGAAAGGAAGTGTTTTTAATTGCTGAACAGGGTCAAAATTCGAGTTTAGGCTGGACTTAGATGTTTGTAATGGACACAGTATGAAGTAAAGGTTTAAATTTTTTAATTTTATAAAAAAAAATGTCATACCAAAATAGTAGGAAAGAAACAATAGTTAATTGTGTATCCTTGTCTTCAACATGTCAAAGTACAAGACATAGACCCAAAAAAAAAAAATACTTTTTGAGGTGGTTTGTAGCTCTGGGAAAGTGAAGGAGACTATGGAGATTGATAAAACAGGATAAACTGGTCTATAAAAAAGGTAAACTAACTGAAGGTCATTTCCTACTAATGTAGGAAAATGAACATCACCTCTAGGCTAAGAAAAGAGATTAAGATTGGAGAGCTAGATGGGTGAAGACAACAAGAAGAAAGGGGATGTCATACAGGCTGAGATGATGTAAAAGAGGAATGCAAGTGGGAAGATAGCATTTTTTGTGAGAGAAACAATTTTTGGACTTGGCATTTCATTTTTTCCACATCCTCAGCAGCACTTGTTATAGTCTGTCTGTTTGCTTTTAGGCATCCTAGAGGGTATAAAGTAGTAGTTATCTTACAGTGGTTTTATTTACATTTCCCTAGTCATTCATCTTGACTATCTTTTCATGTACTTATTGGCTATTTGTACATCTTCTTTGAAGAAATATCTATTCAGATCATTTATTCCATTTTAATTGGATTGTTTGTCTTTTTATTGTTGAGTTTTAAGTGTGTATGTGATCATCTTTTGGTGTGCCCTTCCAAACCTTTTAGGTTTGACCCACACTGGTACTGAGATTTTATTTCTGAACTTACAGCTTTATATTTTTTATGATGCAGGTGTATAATGTATTAAATCATTTTTCCCATGCTTATTAACCAAGAAGTAGATCTTTTTAAATTATAAATGGAAGAGTATAAGGTGAAATGATTGAGAGGATGAGTCCAGTATCTATATTTTGCATTTTTTCAGCTAAGAAAAGATGACAGCAATCAAGCATGCATTACAAAGAGATATTTTTACACCGAATGATGAACGCCTGCTGAGCATTGTGAATGTCTGCAAAGCGGGAAAAAAGAAAAAGAACTGTTTTTTGTGTGCCACAGGTGGGTATTTAATAAGAAAGAGTATTTATTTGATATTCTTTTATTCTATAAAAGACATCTCCTTTAAAAAATTACTCTCATTGTTTTTATAATTGGAAAAATTCTTGGACAAATTTATTTTTTAGTTGCTTTTGCTATTGAGTGGCTATAAAAAGAAGTTCCATAACATATACACAAGGTGTAAAGACCAGTCATACAAGAGCAGTGTACTTGCTCCTCAACATTTGAGGTCCCCTTTGTGCCCTTCCTTTATGCATTTCCTTCCGTCCTCCAGTAAGAGGTAACTGGGTTGGGCTGCACACCAGTGGCCTCCCTGGATCGTAGGCCTTCGCTCTCTGACTAGATTTACACCGTTGGCTTTCCTGGTTCTGAAGCCTTTGGATCTGGACTGGCCCAGTTACCAGCATCATGGATCCCTGGCTTGCAAACCGCCAATCATGGGAACCTCCATAAACGCCTGTGGCTAATGTTTCCAGAACTCATAGATTAGAAGATGCAGAAACAACTCCAGACATACTTAGCCACCTCATCTTTGACAAAGGAGCCAACCACCCTCATTGGAGGAAAGAGCCTATTCAATTAATGGTGTTGGGAAAACTGGATTTCACCCTGCCAAAGATTAAAACTAAACCCATACCTATCACCATGCACTAAACTGAGATCGAAGTGGATTAAAGATCTAAATATTATGACAGAAACACTAAATTTGCTGGAAGATAAGTTAGGTAGAACTCTTGAAAACATTGGCATAGGAAAAGACTTTAAGAACAAAACCTTAGTAGCACGGGAACTAGCACAAAGAATCAACAACTGGGATCTCATCTTATTAAAAAGCTTCTGCCCTGCAAGAGAAACCACCAATAGAGCTAAGAGACAACCTACAATGTGGGAAAAAAATTTTTGCAGCTGTACCTCAGACAAAGGACTACTATCTAGACTATGTAAAGAACGTAAAAAAAACAGACCCCCCAAATTTAAAGACCCAATTCAAAAATGGGCATCTGAAATGAATAGACATTTCTCAGACAAAGAAGTGAAAGCAGCAAATAAATATATGAAACAATGTTCAACATCACTGGTTATTCGAGAGATACAGATGAGAACAACACTGAGATTCCACCTCACCCCAGAAAGAGTGGCTGCTCTCAAGAAATCAACCAATAACAAATGCTGGCGGGGGTGTGGGGAGAAAGGAACACTGCTGCACTGCTGGTGGGAGTGCAGGCTGGTGCAACCACTGTGGAAATCAGTATGGAGATACCTCAAAGAACTAGGGCTAGAGGTCCCATTTGACCCTGCTATTCCCCTGATGGGTATCTTCCCCAAAGAATTAAAAAGAATCATACCACAGTGATATATGTGTACCCATGTTTATAGCGGGACAGTTTGTAATAGCTAAAGCTTGGAAACAGCCCAAGTGCCCATCAACTGGAAACTGGATAAAGAAGATGTGGGTTTTTTTTTAATAAAATGGAGTACTACTCAGCCATAAAGAACGAGAAACTAGAGACATTTATAGCTAAATGAATGCATATTGAGGCCATCCTCTTAAGTGAAATAAATAGGTCTCGTGTAAATACTGAATAGTTTCTCTAGTGTGAGAAACTGAAAGTGTAAATAAGGGTTAAAATGATTAAAATTAATAATTGATAATTTGAAATAGGAAGAAAAGGTCCAAAGGTGTAGGGGAAGTGGGAGGGGAAGCAGAAAGGAAAGAAGGGAAAGGAAAAATTATGAGAAAAGAAAAAAAATGGAACCGAGGTCTATGTAAATAGAGAAGGGTGGAGGGGTGAAGGGCACACAGGTAATGGGGAAAAAATAAGAACCAAGATACATCATGTACAGGTACAAGCACCCAATGAGAAATGTAAATGTATTATATACCTAAAATGTACCAATAAAAGAATTTAAGGGAAAAAAAAAAGAGGTAACCAGTATTCTGAATTTTGGTTTACTCTTTCCTTGCTTTTCTTTATCACATTACTATATATACGTATAATTTCAAACAATATATTGTTTAGTTTTGCACTTTATACAAATTGAATTATAATGCATATATTCTTTGTGATTTTTTTCCAGTCATTGTTTTGTTCATAAGTTTTTTCATACAGCCGTAATCTTTCATATTCACTGCAATACTCTACTGTATGACCGTCCCACAGCTCACACACCCATTCTACCAGTGCTGAGCATTAGGTTTGTTTCTAGGTTTTGCTGTTTAGACAGCACTACTGTAAACATGTTTAGTCTTATCTCCTAGTGCACATAAGAAGGAACTTTTCTAGGGTACTTAGATGTAGAATAGCTGAATCGTTGGTATGTAAATGACTAATTCTGCTTTAATACCAAATTATTTGCAAAAGTAATTCTAGTTTTCATTCCCATAAGTATTTATATGTATTCTGGACTCTCTACATCCTAATCAACAGTTAGGATTAATATTAATTGTTGCCAGTCAGGCGGGAATGAAATAGTATCTCACTGTGTTTTTCAATTGCATTTCCCTAATTAATGAGATTAAGAATCTTTTTATGACTTTATTAGCCTTTTAGTTTCCTTGTTTATGAAATTTACCCACTTGAGCTTTTGCTCATTTTTTTCACTGATTTGTACAAACTCTTTATATAATCTGATATTAATCTTTCGTTGGTTGTATGTATTCCAGTTTATGCCTTGTCTTTCTACATTTTATGATGGCTTTTAATGAAGTTTATAATTTTAATTTAATAAAATAAGTGAATCTGATCTTCTGTGTCTTCCCCTTCTTGAATCTTATCTAAGATCTCCTTCCCAGATATCTTTTATGCAGTCAACAAAATACCCTCCTATTGTGTTGTAAGAGTTTGCAATTTTGCCTTTTGTATTTTAGTTTTCAATTTACCACGGCTGCATTTGTACTTTATGTGTATAAACTGTTTCTGGGTTCAAATTTTTCTTTTTCCAGTTTTTTTTCTTTTTTCTTTTTTTCTTTTTGTTTTGGTTTTACTTTGATTTATTCTTTATTCTTTATCTAAATTTTAGAGTCAACTTCTCAAGTTCCAGAGTTTGTTGGGCTTTTGATTGGAAGTATTTTGAACTTATAGTTCACTTTGGAAATAAGTTTTTTTTATACTATTGGGTGTTGATATCCACATAGTGTAGTTCTTTGTTTATCTAGGTGTTTTGTACTGACTTTGTATAAGTTTCCTAGTTTTCTTAAAAGGCTTTGGACCTGTGGTGTTGGATTTATTCCTATTTTATTTTTTCTTAGTTCTTTTCTACTGTTACAAATAATAGTCCTTACTAGTACTAATACATTTTAAAAATAGTGTGTTAGATTTGATGTGCAGTTGGTTTTTTATGTGAATGTGAATCTTGCTAAATTTCTTTATTCTAATAATTTATTTGTAAACTCTGAAAGTAGTGATATTTTCTTCTTTGTAGTCTTTATATCTTCCACTTTTCACTTATTTTTGGTACTTTAGTGTGCTAATTAGAACCATCAAGCTAGTCTTGATCTCAAAGGGAATGATTTCATCTGTAAGTGTGATGTTTGCTGTAGGGTTTTTGTAGCTCTCCTTTGCAGTGTTAATGAAATGTAGTTTGTTTCTATTCTATTCCTGGCTGTTTGTTTTTGTTTTTTGTAATGCAGGGATTCAAACCAAGGGCCTCTTGCTTGTTGAACAGGCACTTGAAATGAACTACATTCCCATTTAACCCCTTTTAGAAATCATGAATTGATATTAAATGTAATGAAATAATTTTCATTAGTAATTATTATATATTTAATAATTATTGTATAATTTTCTCTTCTAATTTGATAGGATAGTGAATAATTACCCTTGATTTTTTCATATAAAAAATTAGCCTTTTGAAATAGCCTAATTCCATCATGATGTACCATATGCCATTCATTATGACATAGGTTATTATTTTGTATCCTACTAAAAGAAGATGATACTGCATTAATTGTTAAGACCCTAATTTCAGAGATTTTTTTTCTATGTGAAAAAAATAACATCTTAAATTTGATGAAATGAAGGATTGTATTTTGTAAATACCCTTTGTTTGCCAGTACAGTATTTTGTTTTTAAGATTTTGCCTTAGGGCCAGGGATTTAGCTCAGTGGTTCAGCTGCCTGCCTCGCAAGCGCAGGGACCCGAGCTTGATCCCTGGTACCAAAAAAAAAAAAAAAAAGATTTTGCCTTAGTGTTCATAATCATATGGTAACTGACTTCATATTATAGTTGGCTTTATAATCAAAATTATAAAATAAATAAATTGACGAGTCCTCCCTCTCTTGTTCTTTGTATACGAAAATAGCTGTGTGTCTTTTGAATTACTCATTCCTTGAAAGCTTGGCAAAAGATACTAATAAAACTGCTGGACTCATTTTTTCAGGAGTCGAGGATGTGAGAAGGTTTTTACTTTAGTAGTTATAAACTTTGCATATTTTCATTTTTGATTCAGTTTGGATATATTATGTATTTAAGAAAATTTTTAGGATAAACCACTTATTTTTCAAATTACTGGCATTCATTCTAAAGATCCTTCTTTTTGTTGCCAAAGTAATTTTTTTAAACCAGAAATTAGAATATGTTGTTTTCCTAGTTAAAACAGCAACCTGTGGACCAGGGATTTAGCTCAGTGGTTTCGCTGCCTGCTGCGCAAGCACAAGGACCCGGGTTCAATCCTCTGTACCAAAAAAAGAAAAAAAAGCAACAGCAACCCGTGCAACTTCATATAAGGACTGTTTGTGATCTGAACGCCCATCTTCTGTAGTAAATTCATTTCCAACCATCTTATTGCTTGTACTATCTAGATTGAACTGCTTACTGTTGTTCTTTGAAACTGCATTATACTATATTCTTTCAAGTTTCTATGCTTTACATGTCAGCCATTCTTTAAGGTTTACTTCCTACTCTTCCTTTGAAACTGTTCTGAGGCTTTGCTTCTTAAGACCTCAAGATCTTGCTACCTCTGACCTGTAGTCTGATTTAATATTTGCTGTAGAATTCTGTGCATTCTTTAGTCCCCTTGTTAAAAAATAATTACACGTGCTTTCTGTTTTTGTTTTTGTTTTTTTTGGTACCAGGGATCGAACTCGGGACCTTGTGCTTGTGAGGCAGGTGCCTGAACCTAAATCCCTGGCCCACACATGCTTTCATGTAATATTCTAAGCACCTGAAAGCTCTGGGGTAATGAGTGAATGAAAAGTAAGTGAGGCCATCATATTTCTAATGAAGGTCTATGTTTTGCTCAACAGTGACAACTGAACGCCCTGTGCAGGTGAAGGTGGTCAAAGTCAAGAAATCTGATAAAGGAGATTTCTACAAAAGACAGATTGCTTGGGCTCTTCGAGACCTTGCTGTTGTAGATGCCAAAGATGCTATCAAAGTATGTTTTTCTTGGTTCTTTGACCTGTATTCAGAAAATGTCTTTTATTTGATAATAATAGTATTACGCGTTCTAAGATGATCTAAACTTGTTTTGTGAGGGCTGATCTACCAACCTAACTGGGAATTAGTCTAAAATGTATTAGTCTTCTACCTCCTCACCCCTACCCTAATGTACTATATATGTTTATTTCATTATTTTTGCTTTTTTAAAGCTCTGATTTTGCTTATGCACAAGCTGTATAAACTGGAGAAAAATAACCTTGACTATATATATTTCTGTATGTATAGAATCTATAAGTTAGTATGGGTTTGAAAGTGTTGTATCATGTTAGTTTTTTTTAATCTTCTTTGTTTTGGTAAAATCTGGTTCATAAACATGTATAACATAACCAAAGTGAACCTTCCCTAGTTAGTCCTCATGGGTTAGTGCATAATCACCAACTGAGGCAACCAAGCTGGCCTATTGAGCCCACGGCTTTGATGTTTGTGGTTCAAGTAAAGGAAGTGATAGTGGGTTACAAACCTTATTTTATGGATTTAATTAATAGATTTATAAGAATATAAATCTTATACCTTATCCTTAAACCACAATCAAACTCTGAGGCAGTTGAGTAATGCAGAAATCATACTAAAGCAAGGCTTATATTCCTAGCAATTCAAGAGTTTTTATAGCAATACCCTATTTTCAAAGAAATCAAGTAGAAATTCTCTGACTGACTCAGGTGTCACCGCCAAGCCCCCTCCTCTCCAGCCAGGCCCCTCATGCTGTTAGGGAATACTTTGCACCCCCTCTGCTGTGCTGTTGATGGGACTAATAGCAAAGCCTACACTAATGTCACTACAAATGTGCTTCCATTTAACTGTAAGTTTCACACGTATATTTAAAAGGCACAAAGAATTCTTTTTATTTTTTTGGTACTGGGGATTGAACTCAGGTCCTTGCGCTTGCACAACAGGCAGCAAAACCACTGAGCTAAATCCCTGGCCCAAAAGGCACAAAGAAAAAAGACCATCTGTAAACCAACCTGGCAAAATAAAATTCTGGTTTTACTATTACTGTAGCATAGATCTCAGGCTCAAAAAGCCAAACAAAATGACAGGTAGTTGAGTCTGGTGTGGAAAGAAGCAAAAACAATTTATGACAAGCCCTATCTGTATGATTCAGATTACTTCCAAATTCAAAAATACCTTTTTGTCTTTAAGTATTTTAGGTAAACTAAGCCTATGCTTTATCCCTAAGAAGCACTCAAGTTTTTAGAAAAATGAGGAAACAGTTTGACAAGTGCTGTTAAAGAAGGGGTTTGGGGGAAGTTTGGGAAGAAAAGTACAGTGAGTTTTTTTAAAACTTCAGTAAATTCTGTTACTGTGGGGGAAAGACCAAAAGTAGGGACTTGTATAGTAGGTTTCTGTTTAAAACAGAAACATTTTAGAAGTGCACCTTGATTAAAAAGCCTCTTTCACTTTGCTAGTTTTTCACTTCATGATCCTATTGATGTACATAATTCACTAACACTGCTGAATGCTTATTTGAATGCTCTCTCAAAGCTGATGCCTCTTCTGATTTGCTTAATGGGTTTTTTTTTCATTTTATGTAGGCACCTTGTTGTGTGTACACTATATATGGATATAAAACATAAAATTTTTATACATAGCCTAACATTAGCCATTTAGTATCACACATTGATTTGTGTGAATGTTGCCACTAGAGCACTCAGCTGCTTTTATGGCATTATGGGAAGTATTCCCAGGGAAGAGATCATTTCCCATCAAGTTTCATATTAGTTGCCAATATTCTTAAAATTTTTTATAAGTAATAATGTGATTATCTTTTCATTATAAATGCAAGTTTTTAATTTTTGATACTTAATTCTGTTTATTAAGCTATAAGTTGAACTAATTAGTAGTTCCATGTTACAATTATGTGGTTGCTGTAACAAAGGTAAAATCCTGATCCCTAAAATAATACCTTTTACAATACTTTTAAAGTAAAAAGGCTCATATAACTTCATTTGCTTTTAAGGTCTCTGTACTTACGTTTTGTTCCTCCTAAATAGTGCTTTAAATGAATAAAATGGATTATTCCTCTGTCTTGTTGAACATTTATATATTATCTTTCTATGTTATAAAAGACTTTGAGTCTATTTTTTAATTTCTTGAAAGTGAAGAAAATTCTACATTCATATGCTTTCATTTTTCGTGTAATGATTAAGTAATCTACAGCCAAGGAAAAAATATTAGCTGATCATAGAATTACTGGTGGGACAGGGAGAATACATGATTTAATTCTCTCAGATTGGTTTAGCTTCTTTGTCACTTCTAAGTACTTTAAGGCCCACCAACATTTTTGGCTTTTCAGACACCTGTAATCATTCTGTATTTTCAAAATAGAAAACTAAGTTAGGGGCAGCCCCTGCTTTTCACTCATTGTTCTTGAAAAGTACACCAGAGTGTGGATTGTGTTTTTTATCATATATTATAATTAGAAGATTCATTCTATATCAAGGAGGTGTGTCAAATCACAGTTATCTTTTGTCTGTTTATTTGTTTTTGGTTCTGAGGATTGAGCCCAGGGCCTCACATATACTAACAAGCACTCTGCCAATGAGCTATATCCCCAACCCAATAATATATTATCAAAGAAAAAATGTTACTCTAAAACTTTATGGGAAAAATTCAGTCCACATCAAAACTGAAGACCATTGTCGTCTTATTGACAAACACTCTGAGCCCCACAGCCATTAACTGTATAACCTGTATTTAAACTGAAAGGGCTTAGGTACAAACAATGTCTTGTAATTTTTCATCCAGCTTCTTTCAAGCAGTTAACAAGTTTTTGTTATAAATTCAGTTGTCTGAGACTTTCTCTTCACCTGACTTTTACTTACCTTCTTTTCCCCACCAATAGCTTCAATTCCTTTTAATAGTTTACATTATTAATGAAAACAATATGATAAAAAATAACTTTTGTATATTTTTATTTTAGGAAAATCCTGAATTTGACTTACATTTTGAAAAAATATATAAATGGGTTGCTAGTAGCACTGCTGAAAAGAATGCATTTATCTCATGCATTTGGAAATTGAATCAGCGATATCTCCGGAAGAAAATTGATTTTGTCAATGTTAGCTCACAGCTATTGGAAGGTAAAGTGAGAATGTATATTGTAAAATCAAGTGTATCTTTAAATGAATATATAATTAGACATTATTCGAAGTAATTAGAATGCTGAATTACCATAAGTCATAAAGGAATTTTAAAATAATTTTTCCTGTTGAAATGATGCTTGTTTTTTGTAGGATGTTGATACATTAAATCAGTATACTCCTCAGAGATAACTGCTGTTAACATTTTGGTAGATATTCTTCTAGGCTTTTTTCTACACATACTTAAATGCTTTCTTAAAAATAAAATTATATTCCATTTCTAACCACATTCTTTCATATATGAACATTTTTCACATTATTAAATATTTACCCTAACATTTTTAAAATAGCACCATAGTGCCCATTGTATGGATATACCACAATTTATTTAACTATTTAATTTTCCAATCTTTCCTTATTTATTTAGTACTGGATATCAAACCTAGGGCCTCACACATACTATGTAACTCTCTGTCACTGAGGTATACACCCAGGCTCCAATCTTTGCTTATTTAGGTAGCTGTAGGGTGAGTGTTCTTGTAGCAGTTTTTTGTTGTTGTTGTTGTTTTGTGTGTTTTGTTTTGTTTTGTTTGGTACCAAGGGTAGAACTCAGGACCTTGCACTTGTCAGGCAGGTGCAGCACCACTGAGCTACATCCCTGGCCCTATAGCAGTATTTTTGTGCAGAGTATAGGTATGCCTGTTCAAATTCTGGCTTTGCCATCTCTTCTGTGACTCTCATAGTTACTTAATCTCTATATTTTAGTTTTCTTTATCTCAAAAATAGATAATAATAGTATCCACCTTGTAAGGCTATTGTAAAGATTAAATTTCTGAGTTTTGCAAGACAGAAATTCTGATAATTATTGAAAATGTACAATGAGGTTTTACACTTCAAAAATTGTTTTCATAAAGGCATAAAACATCACAAGGAAATGGTTCTGAATGCCTCTTGGATGCAGTTTGTTTTGTGTTCCCTGTCTCAAAGAAAGCAGTTGAAATACTAGCTAATATGTAGGTGTCTGCTCTTCTTTATTGAGGAAAAACAGTGCTGCATCTTAAATTATACATTAAAAAGAAAAATTACATTTGTCCTGAGTTGTAGATTAGCATTTAGTAATAGAAGCTTCTGTTCTTCAGAAACATTAAAACACCTGGAATTGCCATTATGCAACAGTTTTAATACCTGGATTGAAGCAATCTAGTCACTTGCCTGTGTCTCTTCTTTTGTTTTGTTTTACCTGCTCTTTTTTCTGTTTAGCCATAGACTCTTTTCCCCTTAATGGTAGTATTCCTCCTAGTACTTAATTAGTGGCCCTGATGTGGCTTTAGGTTTGATGCTTAGAACTGGCAGAAGCAAGTCACATCTGTCAAACCCTGTATTGCTCCCCCAACAGGTGCTGGCCCTGAGTAGAAGCCTCAGGGTTGCCATCTCACCAACATTAGTCCCTGTGTCTTAGCAGTTGAGTGTTGTCAGGGAAATAATCTTCCAGAAATTTATGATAATTTTTGTGCCTTTGGGTGTAGCTTAATTTGCTCTGGTGGTTTTTACTTTTTACCATTTCAGGTAGACCTTCTCATGAGTCAGTAATTAGTTGACAGGCTTGCTGTTCAGTTTTCAAGTACGGTATTACGTATCTTCAGATGTTACAATCCAATGCATATTTTAAACAAATATATTTAATTAGGACAACCATAAAGAACAGTACATACCCTAACCCAGTCTACCTCATTAAGAAATATTACCAAAGCAAAGAGAAGAATATGAGTATCTTAACTTTACCAAAAAAAATTTTTTTTTACTCTTCAGGGCATAAAACAAACATGTAGACATTTTTATAAACATTAACTCTAGTTGATTATTATTAGTTATTATTAGCTCTGTCTTAAGATTACTGGGTCCATAAAGATCTCATTTTCAAAATCACTTTATATAGATCAATAACTGTTGCTTTGGTTTGGTGTTCAGGGAATAGCTTTTTGAATGTCTAAAACTTGTTTTTTTTTTTGGTACCGGGGATCGAACTCAGGTCCTTGGCGCTTGCAAGGCAGGCGACAGAACCACTGGGCTAAATCCCCGGCCCATCTAAAACTTGTTTTAATGGGCCTTGAAATCACAGCCATTAATTCTCATTTTTTAAAAAATAAATGTCTTTAGGGTTTCGATAATGCTAGAAAACAAAAAATTATTACTACATCCTTTGAAGAGCTAAATAATCATCCAAGTAAGTAAGGCTATTATAGTTGTTAATTATAGCAGTGGCAATTTGGGTAGTTTTTATCAATGACAGTTGAATATTCAGGTTAAATAATTGCAGCTTCTCAGCAGAATACAGTTTTTGAAAGAGAATTTGTTAGCAGTTGAAGTGGGTTGAAGATTTTGTTGGACCTTTTTTCATTCTTTCACTTGCAGCCAGATTTTTAAACAATCTTTGACTTGAATCCTTAAAATGCCAGCTTAAACCAACATCTTATATGTCTTTTTTACTTTCCTCAGCCTTGTTTTTCTAACAGTGTTTTGTAACTAAACAGTGTTTTGGGCCTTGAGTGAAAATAACCATACTGAGTGCATGAGTCATAACTGACCTAAAAATAATCCCCAGGAAATGATCTTGTTTCCCAGTTTTCTCCTCCAAGAGCTATTCAGTACTGTTTCTTAAAACATTAAGAGAAAATAGAGAGGTAAATATATTTTCAGTCACTCTCAGAAAATAAGAAAAATGAACCCTGGAAATTTAGTTTCTTGTGGATCTTTTCACTTTGTAGTTAATTTTAATGTTGACTTTGAAGGTTAATTTAGCGTGAAGTTCAAATGAGGTATGGGTAGTATTTTTAAAATTTAAACCAATGTTTTTTTCTACCCAGCTAATATTCTTTGCTTACTTTCCTCTGCTTTTTTCATACTTTTTACTCTCCAGAACTGCCTAAAGTTACAGAAGGTGCGTAACACCTTTTCTTCTTACTCTATATTCTATGTGTTTTTATTATGTGCCATTGTTATGTACTATTGGTTGCATATTTTATGAAGTTGTGTACAACAATAAATTTATTACAAAATCCATATAGTAGTAAAATTAATAGTAGTATCTGCTATTGGCTTCCAAAGAACTGTTTCAGGGTAGAGAAAATACATCTGAAGCTTTTATCATGGTCATTTAAAACATCTGTTTATTTGAAATATCTACTGTACAGTATGACTTGGGCGGTTCCTGCCCTCTAGTGGCTAATCAGTCATACCTGACAGTTTAACATTTCTGCAAGAACTGAAATGGCCTCAGTCAAAGGAGGAGGAACTCAGTGATGCCACCCTACAATTCATATTCATATACATAGGTCTCTAATTACCAGGACAGAAAGTTCAGTCTTCTTTTTTTTCCTGGGATGTAACTAAAAATGTCTAATTTCTTACCATTCTTTAGAGTAAATCCTTTGTTACTTTGAAATAGCTGGTTTTTGCTCTGGATCAAATGAATGTATTTCCAGTTGTGCTGAATGTAAATATTCATTTTCATGTAAAATACTAAATACTAAAGGCATGCGGAATTTGTGATTTAAATTGTATCCTGGTAAGTCTTTTAATATCAATAAGTATTTAGAGTTATAAAGTAATTTCTTGGGGGTTAAAAATTATTCTTTCATCTCTCCTAACCCCTAGCCATATATAAAATGCCCACACACTAAACATATTCTCTCAAAAAGTAGACTGAAACATTTATCCAGAAAGCACTTCAGATTTGATCTCTTGGTCTTTAGTTATAAAGTATGAAGACCATTGACATTTTTATAATTTCAAACCATCATATTGTTGTTGCTCTTCTATCAGGGTTACTAAGAAAGCTTTTGTAGCCTATCTTTATTGATGCATGTGAAATTTTTAAACAAAAAAATAGAAAAATTCAGTTAATATTTGTAGTATCCATAATAGATTGTGGATTATAGACATATTTTTCATTTCAGTTAAAATTCATTCAAAAGATGTAGTCAAAGATTTTAAGATCAAAAACAAAAGAAAATCGGGCCGGGGATTTAGCTCAGTGGTTTCGCCGCCTGCTGCGCAAGCACAAGGACCCAAGTTCGATCCCCGGTACCAAAAAACCCCAAAAAACAGAAGAAAATCATTGGAGGTAGAGGAAAGCAAATTGTTTTCATGTATATTGAATTCACTGTCATTGTCTTGTTAGAGCAATAGCCACCTCAGGTAGGAAAAAACACATTAGGTTCATTTTTTTGTGTTTCAATGCTTTGTTTATGTATTTTAATTTAATTATGTTTGGAGAAATTGTGACTAAAGTCTGTTTAACACTTAAAAACGAGTATATTAGATACATGCCTTTTGTTTATTACTTTTTAGAACTTTATTTCATTGAAATACGTAATTCTTTATAAAAATAAGGTTTGACTTTTTCATATATTTTGCCTCATTCTTCCATGTTTTTCACCCTGACCTATGCTTCTTATAACTGAACTTCCTAGCTATAAATACCATGCTATAGTCCTTCTTACTTTCTGACTATTTTGAATTTTTACCTTCTTTAAGAATCTGTTCCAAGTGGAGAAAATCAGAGTGTGACAGGCGGTGATGAAGAAGCAGTAGATGAATACCAAGAGTTAAATGCCAGAGAAGAGCAAGATATTGAAATAATGATGGAAGGCTGTGAGTATGCAATCTCTAATGCTGAGGCCTTTGCAGAAAAGCTATCCCGAGAGCTGCAGGTGCTAGACGGGGTAAGACTTTCTTATAATGTATGAGTAAGTGATGTATAGCAGATTGAGAAAGCAGTGTTCATATTTTACTGCCTCAGCACTTCAGCCTTTACAGTGTGATTATTGCTGTCTTTATAAGTACATTACAAGTGCCATCAGTCTTTTACTGTTCTTGTTCAAAGAGAGAACTATTCCCATTTAAGCCAGTCAAGGCAGTTGGCTGAGAGTCTAGATTTTGGAAGGTTCTTGATAGGAAGTGATGGAAGAAAAAAGTAGACAATCCAAAACCATCTTTGAGATTGACTGCCCCAGACTTTGAACTACCTCAGAATAGTTCACTGCCAAAAAGTACTGTTTTTGTGTTTTGGGGGAAAAAAATAGTGCAAATTATAATGAGATAAATGAAGCTGAAATAAATGAGTCATTTACCAAAAGGGAGCAGAATAAGTGTGAAAACAGGAGTACCAGGGGAATATTGATCTCAGACTTGTCCACTAAATAGAGCTTTTTAATTTGTATGCATATTTTCTGAGTCTGTAGTCTTAAGTGCACTGCACCATTTATGTGAGAATGAAAGAAATCTTTTGGGGTTTTTTTGTTTTGTGTGGCATTCAGAAAGGTAAGCGTTTAAGCAATCCTTCATAGAATAAGGAACATTTTAAAGACTTAAAAAGTTAGGGTGTGTTATACATGAAAGGTACAGAAGTCATGGGATCTTAACTCAGGTCTAGAGAGACTTCATGAATAATCAGCTTACAAGTTCACTAAACTCACTGAAAGCAAAGGCTAGAAGAGATTTCCAGATGATAAAGTGGAAGTTGTCTTGGGTAGAGTCAAACTCCAGCTGTGTTACTTAAGGGATGTGATGGGCTCTGAACCCTGCTGACACTTAAGAGTTGGGCTGCACTTGACAGTGGAGTTATTGTGAACAATATGTAAAATAATTGGTGTGAAACTATAGTATCCATCATACAAAGATATTCTTTTTATTCTTGTCGAAGTTTTTCATCATCCCATGTTTCTTGCCTTAATATGGCTTAGAGATTTATATTTTCTTTTCTAATTAATAGTGCATTATGTTCGAAATCATCATGTTACTTTGCAGCTTACTGCTAGATTTGACAGCTTCCTTATTTCAGAGAATTTTAAATCAATAGCCAGAACATTTAGAAAATAGTGATAAGGGGATGGTGGTTTATAACTGTGTTGTTTGGGGAAAGAAATAACATAGTATATTTGTAAATGAAAGAGAAAAGAAAAATGATGATGGAGTTTTCTTTTGTCCACGTGCTCTTCCACTTCCAGTTAGAGCTAAACTAATTGTATTAGTTATAAATTAGTTCTGTGTACCCTTCAGATACTGGTATAACATCACTGTCTTCTGAGCTAAGGTGTTATATAGGTGAGTAGGCTTTCATTTAGGGTTTCACATAGACATTAAGAAGTGTGAAAGAGGGGCCGGGGATTTAGCTCAGTGATTCTGCCGCCTGCCCACAACAGCAAGGACCCGAGTTCAATCCCTGGTACCAAAAAAAGAAAAAAAAAAAAAATTTCTACGAAGTATGAAACATTTCTGTGGTGCTAGAAGAAACGTTAGAGATGACATGGCCTAAAGGCCTTAAATTTGCAGAAATTACAGTGTGGCTTTACTGGATGACACATCCTGGGGCGGAATTCTGCTTGTGCAGTCTGCAGAAATACACAGTACTAAAGCATGGTCCCTGACCTTGATGTAGAGACAAGTGTAGCTTCATGAAGTGTGGTGTAAAAAAGTGAAACAAAATGATAAAACTAAAGTAGGTGTGTAGTTATATATCAGTTTTTGTTACTCTGCTTTCAACAAGATTTAACAACATTCCATCTTTATACTTCTTTTAAACATTTAAATAACATGAAGTGTTATTTTTGTCTTTCAATGTATAGGCCAACATCCAGTCAATCATGGCCTCTGAAAAACAGGTGAACATCCTGATGAAGCTGCTGGATGAGGCCCTAAAGGAGGTGGATCAGATTGAGTTAAAACTGAGCAGTTATGAGGAAATGCTCCAAAGTGTGAAGGAACAGATGGATCAGATCTCTGAAAGCAACCATCTAATCCATCTCAGTAACACTAATAATGTGAAACTCCTGTCAGAGATAGAGTTCCTTGTGGTAAGTACTTTTATATATACCAAGCAAAACAGAAAGCCTAGTGACAATATATAAAACCCATTTGTAAACATTTTCTAATTTCCAAGTTAGATATAAAATAATTCTAAAGACCTAGTGACAGAACTGAATAGCATCTTACCTGTAAACATCCCAAAATTATATGTGCAAGTGGTGTATTTTCATATTCCAGAACCACATGGACTTGGCCAAAGGCCATATAAAGGCCCTTCAGGAAGGAGATCTTGCTTCTTCCCGAGGCATTGAGGCCTGCACCAATGCTGCTGATGCCCTTCTGCAGTGCATGAATGTAGCTCTTCGACCAGGTATGTTCATTAAGGTGAATAAAATCTGACCAAGAATTGAGATTAAGACTTGACTTGATATAAAGATTTTTGACAAGAAATAACATGGCCCAAGTGATTACATTATTAGCTACTTGAACAAGTTTGACTTGTTTCCCAGTATGTTTCTATAGATACTGAGTATTTTTTCATTTCATTTCTTTCTGATTGACCACCAGTGACTCTGACTGACTCCTGGTATTTCTTTAGTGCTGTCTACAAAACTTAGCACAAAATAGATGCCTCGGTTAGACAGAGAGCAGATGGTTTTTTTAGACCACGGTTCTCAAACTTGAGTGTGTATCAGGATCACCTAGAGGGCCTATTAAAACTGCCATGTTTAGGGCCGGGGATTTAGCACAGTGGTTCTGCCACCTGCCCCACAAGCGCAGGGACCTGAGTTCGATCCCTGGTACCAAAAAATAAAAAAAAAATGCCATGTTTATTTTATTAATTTTTATTTTTTTGGTACCAGGGATCGAACTCAGGTCCTTGTACTTGTGGGGCAGGCAGCAGAACCACTGAGCTAACTCCCCGGCCCAAAAACTGCCATGTTTAATACATATGTTGATGGCTCTTATCTTTATTAAGTCAGTCAAGCAATGTTCTGATTTCAGGCCATGACATGCTTCTGGCAGTCAAGCAGCAGCAGCAGCGTTTTAGTGATTTACGAGAACATTTTGCCAGGAGACTGGCCAGTCACCTCAACAATGTTTTTGTTCAACAGGTAACTTTACTTTATTAAAACTGGAATATTTCTGTAGCTTAGTTGTATTACCTTCAACTTAAATTCCCACAAAACTTTAAAGTGTTCAGTTGGGTTTGAAATATGTTCCTTCTCACATTTATTTGATTTTAGGATTTTGAAACACATGTTTATTTGCTTATAAAGAAATTCTCTGATTCTATATATCAAAAATGTTTATTAATTACACATAGCATATAGACATTCATATTTATGAAAGTCAAAACTTAACTCTATTTAATATTGAACTTGTTTTCTTTTTTAGTGTTTTGAGGTGAGAACCAAGACTTAATTCAGTATTTTAATGTTTCATTGGCTCTGTGTACTTCTATATGTAGTGTACATGTGAAAAACTAACAACTGTAAATTTAAGTTGATTTAATATTCATATAAATGTTTTGCCTTCTTTTCAGTATGGAAAGGAATATTTCAGGATGTGGCAATAATGTATTAATAATATCAAATACTTTATATAAGTTTGAATTGAAGGCATTTTAATGTCAGGTATAATAAACTAGGTTTCTTATGTTTTTATCTCTTATGTTATTGAGATTACTGAGTAGAAAAATTGGGAAATCTTAGTCATCAAGAAATGCTATCTTGGGCCGGGGATTTAGCTCAGTGGTTTCATCACCTGCTGTGCACGCGCAAAGACCCGAGTTCGATCCCCGGTACCAAAAAAAAAAAGAAATGCTGTCTGAAAACATTGCTTTAATGTCATTTGCACTTTGCAGTATTCTGAAACAATTGTCTTTACTGTTTTATTTCCAATTAGTTTACTCAGGCCCTTCTTCAACTCTATAACAGGTCCTACTTTCTTTCGGTTCCTGTGAGTACATCAAATTTGGCTCAAGCTTCTCTGATTTTTTCTTTTCTCTAAGAAGTTTGCTAAACTTAGCAGAATCTTTGTAGCTTACAGCATAACTTACGGATTTAAGCTACCTGTTAACCATATTTGCAGCGGTTTTTTTAATGTCCTAAAGCAGGATTAATTTTGACCAAAAGCACTTACTGTCATTCTGCTTGCCTTTCTTCTTGTCATTCTTTGACTCACTCATTTGCTTGAGTAATTGTTTGTTTGCCAGATGGTTGAGATTCATGCTAGATATTAACTTGGGATAAATGAGAAGCTGATCCTGCCCTTAAGTAGCTCATAAGCTGGGGAAGGGAGACAGACAGATGTATTCAGGAAGGACAGATGTTGTGATGGTGGTACTGTGGGACCATAAAGGAGGCCCACCTAATAAGCATGGGAGGGAAAGTCAGGGCAGACTCCCTCAACGTTTCCCTTGATCTGAAAGTGTCGAGAAGAAAATAAACTTAAAAGCTACATAAAAAGTTAATTCACATTTTTCTTAACATCATTATTTCAGTAACATCTATTTCTACATGATTCTTTAGTTTTAAAAATGACACTATTGGGCCGGGCATTTAGCTCAGTGGTTTCGCCACCTGCTGTGCAAGCTCAAGGACCCGAGTTTGATCCCCAGCACCAAAAAAAAAAAAAATGACACTATTGACAATGATGTTACCCACATTTGTGGATGATACTAAAATTACCAGTCATAAACAGCAGTTCTTTTATATCTTTTTAACTGTTTGTTATAGCATGCAGTTACTTACGATTTTTGCTTCTTTGCCTTATACTAATGGCTTTGTTTAATGTGAATGCTTCCCATTTCTGAAAATCTAATATATATTGTTACATGTGAGTGGTGTGTTAAAACTGAAAATACTGCCACAACCTGGGATGTGCTGCACAAAAAGATGTCCCAAGTGCAAGAAAGAGTTTCTGTGTTAGATTCAGTGCATCGGGTAATCAAGCAAAAGAATTGAGAAATATGAGTATTTCTAGTTGGAGGACAAACACGCTGGGAAAATTTGAGTAGCATATTATGTAGTACATCTCTTTGTCAGTTCCCAGATTTTCATTGTGTTCACCATCATTCATGTGTAGGGATTATGAAATGGCTCCTCCTGAGATGCTTTTAAGGAGGAGTTAAGATTAATGTACTTAAAGCTCTACCACAGTGTATATAACAGATGGCTGGTTGTAGACCTATGGTCATAAGTGCTAAAGGAATTTAATCAAAAGTGGGTTTTCTGGGGGCTGGGGATTTAGCTCAGTGTTTCCGCCACCTGCCCCACAAGTGCAAGGACCTGAGTTCTATCCCCAGTACCAAAAAAAAAGAAAAGTGGGTTTTCTAAGGATTTAGGAGTCCAGTGTGGAAGTACAGGTAAGGTAGGACTTAAACAGTCCATGCAATCAGTTCATAGCAAGTGTAGAGTTATAAAATTTATAAATATTATATGAAACAATTCATTGGAAGTAATCTGTTGATCAAGACAACAGTAATTTAAAGAATACTGATTCCCAGTCTTCTTAAAATTTACAAGTCAGTAAAATTAAGAAAAATAAAATTTAAAGCCTGACCAAGTCATCAGGTTTTTATTTTGCCAAGTAAAGATTTTTTTTTTTAAATTGTGATCTACTGGGCCGAGGATTTAGCTCAGGGATTCTGCCACATGCCTCGCAAGCACAAGGTTCCAAGTTCGATCCCTGGTACCAAAAAAAAAAAAATGTGATCTACTTTACTTTCTTATTTTAAAAATGTCATTTTGACATCAAAATAGGAAGAACTTAATTTTAGATGTATTTTCCTGTTAATACTTCTACATATAGTAACTCCAATTGCATCTTTATATAATATTCTCTTCTTACTGAGTGTGATGTTTTTAACAGGTGGCTAGCTTCTTTTCGATTCTTTAAATCTTGCATACTCTGCTTCCACTGAGACTTTTACCCATAATTTTTGCATTTACTGGGAATTTGTGTATCTAGAAAGACATTCAGCTAAGAGAATTAGGCCAGTTAAAGGGATTATAAGGTCAGGGATTTAGCTCAGTGATGCCATGCCTGCCTGGCAAGCGCAAGGTCCTGAGTTCGATCCCCAGTACCGCCCTCCCCCCAAAAAAGGGAGTATGATACTGAAAGCAGGCAGTAAAATTAAGGCTGATGAAGTTCAGTACGTATTTGCGTAACAAATATATCCTTTTGGAAATTCTTTTGGTGGTTTTGGAAACATTTGTTTTGAAAGGATACTGTTTTCTGCCTGACCTCCCCACACATGCACACACACACTTGGGTTCTACAGAGGCCTTACGATTTGGTATTTTTGCCTTTAGTGACATGATGAGGCTTTAGTGACATGATTATGCAAATACCTTCGAGGAAATGAAAATGAACTAAAATACACTGAACTTGAGTACAACCAGGAAAAACTGTAGTTGTGGGATTTTTTTGCTATATGATTAAGTTTGGAAATTTTTCTTGAAGCACTTATTTATGCAAATATACAGTTTAAAAATGTGTAGTAGACTGCCAGTATTCAATCTAATTTTACAAAAAAATTGTTTCCTTAGACACATGTCATATTTTTCTAAACAGAGCTTAGAAGGAATACACTTACAATCCATTTATTGGAATTTTCCTCAGATTTTTTCCTTTAAAAAAATATAAACACATCATAACATAGAAGGAAAGGAGTCCCCAAATCTTGAAAATTGACTTAAATTTAACCCAACTATATTGTTTCTGTTAGAAAGTCAATATAACAAAGTGTAGTAATAGTGGGTGTTAGAGCCAAACCTTGTGTTCCAAACTGTGACTCTGCTACCCCTTAGCTGGATGACCTTGAATAAGGTGATTGCCCTCTTTTTACCACCTTAGTTGCATTATCTTAATATTGAGATAAAAATAATAAAATGTCTACTTCATAGGGTGTTATGAGGGCTAATGTGCTTATATATGTTCAGCACATATAATAGTGCTTTGGCTATAGTAGAGTGTTCAATGTTTATGTTAATTTTAGATATAAATTCCAGTTATATATAGGTATATGTATACACACACACACACACACACACACACACACACTACTGGACATTTATAACTCATGAATTTTTTAATAAAATGTATGACAGATTAATTGGAAAAATAATGATATTTTTAAGTTGTTTAGAGTTTTGCTATTTTTAAATGAGAAAAATATATTACAATGTTATTGCAAAGTTTAGAATATATAAAATACCTAGCAAGGTAGTAGGCATTCAGTAAATTTTTGTTACTAATTTATTACTTACAGTAAGAAACTTTATAAAGTGTCTTAAACGCATGAAAAATAAAATTCCTTATACATTGGAGTTCTACACGTGATAGTTGCTGTATTGCTAATTAAACAATTTAAATAATTTTCCTATTTTCTACAGTTATTTTGGAACCATTTTCTCTAAATTGCAGTCTTTTTGTTAACATTAATAACAACTTATCTGTCTTAGTTGTGACAGTTTGAAGGTGATGGTATTATTTATGTTAGAAGTGAATTTTTCAAGTGATTATGATGTGAAAATGCTAAGAAAACAGAATAGTAATGTACATGAAAGTGCTTTGTAAAGTGTAAAATCTTCTACAAATGTTTAATATTCTTTCATTTTTAGAAAAGATTTTTAATGACTTTTTTTACCTTAAATAATATAATTTAGAATGTAATAGAGTAAACAATAGAAGAACATAAACATAATTTTGAATCTTGAATCACTGAGAAAAATTAATAAGGAAGATTGTTTTGGATAGTGAAAATATATTTAACATTATTAATAAAAGCAGAATAGGGCCTGGGGATTTAGCTCAGTGGTTCCGCCACCTGCCTCGCAAGCACAAGGACCTGAGTTCGATCCCCGGTACCAAAAAAAGAAAAAAAAAAAAGAATATTTGGAAAACATTTGTAAGATATAATAAGTCTGTCAAATAACCTTCCCTTTTCATCATTGTAACTTAGACACATCACTCGGAGACACTAACCAACTTAAAACTATAATATCTGTGTATTCTTTGTAGCTTACATATGAAATTCTGTAAAATTCTGATCATCCTTCTGAGGTCACTATTAAAAAACCATTCCTTTAATATATTTATATGAAATTTTGATGACTAGATATAGCTCAGTGATAATACCTACATGTTTTATTTAATATTATTAATTTTGTTCATGTTTATTGTTAGCCTTTACTTCACCCAGTGTCCAGGCATTCCAAATGTGTAGAATTGTAGCCCTTAGGTATTAATAATTCTGTTGGTAGATGTGATTGTTTTAGCCATCCAGAAAAGAACATCCACACAGGTTCATTCTCCCTTACCCAGATCTCTTGGAGTCAGTTGTGTTTTTAGAACTTTTCCTGATTTTAGAAAAGTGATATGACGTGTACACTGTATTTTATGTTGTATAACCACTCCAATCAAGCATATAATTCCTGCAGCCAAAAATATGAGTAGTCATTCAAAATAAATACCTAACCCCGTGTCAATTCAGGTCAAGTGTTACCATTAAAACTGTTTAGACACCAAACTTTAACTGAATTTTGGATGCTAGAATTTACCCAGAGAGTCATGGGCCTATATATATGATATACCTTACTTGTTGTATCTATGATAACTGTGAATTTCTGTTGCCTCTGTATTCTGCTTCTTGTTATTGTCTAGGTTTGTTGTACTTTTCTGCCATCTCTAGCCAAATTTCCCAAGTTAACCGAAGTAGGTATGAGTAAGACAGATCTTAAAAGATAAATATTGGTTGACCTACATAATTTTATGTGTAATTTCTATATAATGGGTCCCTCCTATTTTCTATCTCCATTTTAAATTGGAGATATACTGACTTGAAAAATTTAATGAAAAACAGATAATAATGAAGATCTTAGTACTTTGAATATCTTTTACCTCCACCTCTCTTACTCTGAGGGTACTTCTCAGTTACTATGGACTGCTTTATTCTGTGGGCCAAGAAATTTTCTTTTTGGATACTCTGTGTTTAAAAGAATTTTTTTTAAGTCCATAACTACTAAGTTCTTATTTTGTGTACTGTATATAGTGTCTATATAGTAAAGCATAGATTTAAAAGATCTTTTAAAAGAATTTTAAATTCTTTAAATTCAGAGTACGTTAGGCTAATATATATATCAGTTGGTATCATATATATTTTTAATTAGCTTTAGTTACTTTACCACAAATAAGTTACTCAACCCCCCAAATTCAACAGTGTTTGTCATTTTAATACAATTTTCATAAAATGCTAACATAACTTCTGACTATCTGGGCAAATCAGATTTAATGCAAATGGTTTTAAATAAATCTGGCTTGTGTTGCCTTTTGATTGTTTTGGGAAAATTATATTTTCAAGGGAAATCAACTTTTTAAATCTTTGAATTCCTTGTGTCTTAGATATGAACTTCAAGTTCCTGGAAGATGCAAAGGAGAAGAGCTAGATTGTTCAAAAGTGGGCTAGGGAGATTTTTTTAATACTAACGGCTAGTAGGCAGTTGCCATTTTTTAAGTCTGGCTAAGGTGGATTTTCTTGACATATGTTTTTAAAAAGACCAATGAGACTCAGATAACTAAAGTTCCAATCTAGCTTTTTTCCTTTGTGACCTGAACAAACCACTTAATCCTTTGAGCCTCAGTTTCTTCTTCTAGAAAACAGTTATTGAATCAGATGATCTACCAGGTCTGTATTTTCTAAAGCAACGGTTAAGATGCATACTGTGCCTAAGACTGTGTGTTAGCTTATTTAGTTATGTAAAAGTCTCATCAAGGTTTAAAAATAAAATCATATGTAGTTAGCTATTTAACAATCACTTTAATGGAAAAATTATAGTTATTAGGGGTTATCCTAGAAAGCTGAGTATATAGTCATCTTGCTCTAAAGTTCTCTATCACGTATATTGTTAAAGTGTGTTAAATATTATAGACTGTAATGGGAATAACATTATGTAGACATTTATTTTTTGAATGACTTCCCTATTTTGTGTATTTCTTAATACAGTCTGTATTCACAAGTATATTTGCTTAATAAATCATAAAATAATATGGTATGAGAAAGAAAAGCTTGATTATAACATTTATTCTCAACTCCTTTAAAACATGAAATGGTCAATTTATCAGTGACATTCTTGAATGTTTGTGATTTTATGGGTAGTATAAAGTTGATATACCCAGAATGATAAATGTGAGCAAGTAAGTACTTGCTTTTTCTGTGTTTTGCTGGCCTTGCCTGGCCACCGCTGCTCACCTTTTAGAATTTGCAATTGTAACAGTGTTTGAATTGTCAGTGATGCTGTTTACTTACTCACTCTAGGGTCATGATCAGAGTTCAACTCTAGCTCAACACTCTGTTGAACTGACTTTACCCAATCATCATCCATTTCATAGAGACTTGCTCCGATATGCCAAGTTGATGGAGTGGCTGAAGAGTACAGATTATGGAAAATATGAGGGACTGACAAAGGTATGGATTTGATATCAGCTATTTACTGAGTATACAGCATAATCTTTTAGAATCAAGAGCTTATGTATTCAGTTCCCCAAGTTTGAAATAATGAACTGTGTTCTTAGTAAAGCAGAAAATAATTGAATTTCTGAGTGCTTATTAACCCAGGTAATACTAATTTTATTTACTTGGATGAAGAAGAGCTAAATTTTGAACTTCAGTATAAAGTAGTGTTAAGCCATACTATACCTAGAGCATCATTCAGTTTAGTTCAGTGCAATAATTAGGTCCTGAGTTTCTTTATGGGAGTATGAAGATATATAAGTGAGGCATTGACCTCCTAAGAATGTATAACCTGTTCTGTTAAGAAAGTACAAAGTGCGTTTTTATTAAACAACCATTCTCCTATGCCAGGTACCTCAGGCCAAACAAGCAAGCCCCTACTTCTGAGAAGCTCTAAATCTGATCAGGAAGAATCATCCACAAAACAGTTAGCAATAAAATTAAGTGCTAGGCTGGAAATGAGTTTAAATATGTGGCAGTTTAGAGGCTAGAAATGCATGTCCTGAAGCTGTGGGGAAAATTTCATATAAAATACTGGACCTTCGGTTGAGTTTTAAATAATGAGTGGGATTAGATAAAACAAAACAAATGGTATCTGAGGACGTGAGAGCAAGATATGCAGGCAAAAGTGATCAAAATAGCCCGTCATAGGATGAGGAGGAGGGTTAGCATGGTTAAAGCAGAAATTTCATACTCTTAGGGCAAGGGATTTAGCTCAGTGGTTCTGCCGCCTGCCTCACAAGTGCAAGGTCCCGAGTTTGATCCCTGGTTCCGAAAAAAAAAAAAAAAAGAAATTTCATACTCTTCTGTGTGAGAAATTATGTTTAAAAAGATGTGGGAGCTAGGCACAGTGGCACATACCTCCAATGCCAGCTACTCAGGGGGCTGAGGTAGGAGAATTGCATTCCAGGCAATTTAACAAGAACTCACCTCAAAATAAAATACTATAAGGGCTGGCAGTGTATCTCAGTGGTGGAGCACTTACCTAGTATGCACAAGGCCTGCATTCAGTCCCTAGTACAGGAGACCCTCAAGTTACAACCAGCCTGACATACAAACAACTTGGGTTAACTAGGTTAATGGAAGATTTATCTGCCTCTGGTTATCTATAGCATGTACCCAGGTAAACATCCAGATCTCAGTTGAATTGACTTACAACCAACTTGAGTTACAGTCAGTCCTTGGGAACTGATCACGTTCATAGGTCAAGCATCCACTGTACTGCAGTCAGTCAGTCAATCAAATGTGTGCAAGCTGTGAGACTTAATATTGTTCCTTGAACATAGGAAAAGATTAGATAGAGAAAATCAATTAAGAACCTAATGTAATAATTCAGATGAAACAAAGTCTTTAACTAGGAAGATGGAAGTAAGGAAATGGAGAGAGAATAAAAGCCAAAAGAGAGACTCATCAAAGGCAAGAGCAACAGGATGATGGCATACTTGCCAGGATTGAAGATCAGGACACTGGTACATGGTAGTGACTACAGTCAGCAACTGGGGAGGGGCAGAGTCATTCATTCATACATTCACTCAGTAGAGAGGTTGAGCACCTATTATGTGCCATTACTGTTATGCACAGGATACAGCATTGAAGGAAACGGCACATTTTCTAGAGGAGAAAGACAGGCCAAGAAGTTAATTAAGTAGTGTATTAGAAAGTTCTGCTGAGTGCTCTGAGAATGCCAGAACGTGAGGAGGGTCCATTTTCAAATTGGGTGGAAAGAGGAAGAGTCATGAAGAGGTGACATTTGAGAACAGAGTTTACAGATAAGGGAGGAGCAATGGGGTTTTCTAGAGAAAAGCTTCCCACAGTAGTAGTACTGTAAGGCAGAGTGCACCCGGTGTGCTTAGGGAGACACAGGGAGGCCAGAGTGGTAGAGTGCAGTGCGCCAGGGCGGAGCTGAGTGGGGGCAGGGCAGAAGGTCTTGTGGATAAGAAAAGGGTGGTTTTACTATGCATGTCATTGGAAGATTCGGTGAGACGGGACTTTGAGCAGTGGGATGATATGATCCAATAACCTAACCCATCAAGGCAGGAAACAATAGGGACAGTCCTTTTCTGTCATTTATGCTGTAACCTTAGTTTAGAGCATGGACATGTTAGGAATACTGTTTGACTATAAAGAATGAAATGATGTCATTTGCAGGAAAATGGATGGAACATGAGACTATAATGTTAACTGAAATAAATCAGACACAGAAAGTTAAATAACATACGGTTTCTCTTATGAGAAACATAAAACATAAGTAAAAGAGTAAAGGAGAAATGGTAGAAGAAATTGGATCTCTTGTTCCTTTTTTAAAAAATAGAGCTAAAGAATTGCCACTTATCTAACTCAAATATATAAATAGCTAGTACTCTTCCAGATAGTGCTGGCTGAAAGAGCAATTTCATGAAATTTCTGAGAAACATTTAAAATATTTTTTATTTTTGTGTATTTGGAGTTTAAAAGAATCAAAGAAATGCATTAGTATTCTTAGTAGTTTAGTATTTATTCATTAGTAGTTTAGTAATTTTTGTGGACAGTATGACCCTAAAAGATTATCCTGGAATTGGAAAGTTTTGTCTTTGTGGGATGAAAATAGTGCAATTGTTAATATAAAAGCAGCTCCTATCCAATATTTTTGATTCATGCTTCAGGAGAAGGCCAGGTGTTGGGTTAAGATTTTTGAGAAGGGCCTAAGGGTGTGGCTCAGTGACAGAATGCTCATCTACTGTGCCTAGGACCCTGGATTCAATCCTCAGCAACACACAGACAGATTTATGAGATGTATAATAGATACTAAGAAAGGGGCAAATTGTGTATTCCTGTCAGCAGTGCATTAATGTCAAGATATTTGACAGTAGGATATTCTTTTGTATGTATCAAACCACGTACATTTTCTCTTTGAAGTACCTTTGCCCATTTAAAGTGAATTTGGGCTCCCTGTGCTTCTAAACTGAGACAAGAGGGGGGATATAAATCCTGGTAAAATAAGTAATATTTTTAAAATAATAGTATTACATAAATTTATATATTATATATGTATATAGTGTTATATATATAGTAGTACTTTGGTTCACAAACTGAGTTCCCTCCATGATGCTGGTCGCAAACCAAACTGGACAAGAACCAAATCAAATTTCCCCATAAGGTCAACATTGAACCTAATCATTGAATTTGATTTGGTTTTCGTCCAACTCAGTTTGCAACCAGAATCATGGAAAGAATCAAGTTTGTGAACCAAGGAACCAGTGTATTTGTATAATTTTATATTATATATATTCATATCATAAAGATAATATAAATAATTTTATATAATATTACATAAATAATATTTTTTAAACATTTTTTGAAAAAAAATTTCATCTCCTTAGGTGTTTATATACATCTCATCTGGCTAGCTATTTTAGGTAGGATGATTTTTGTTTCTCAGAATTAGTCTGTTAAATTATGCAACTCTGTTATTATATTTTGTTCTGTTTTGTTTTCGTTCAACAGAATTCTGGTTTGGAGACATCTTAAAGAAAAATATTTACATACTGTAATTTTTTGCCTTTTGAAGTTTTAGAAGGATAAATATTTTGAATAATTAAACATAAATTGTATCTCTTTAAGACTTTTGTGCCAAGTGCTTTGTCCCCTAGTGAATATTCAAATAAGTAATCAATAAGCTTTTTACCTAATTGTGTTCTCAGTGAGTCTTATTGCCTTACCTTTATATACAGTGCAGTATTCATGAATGTAATTTAAAATGAGAAAGAAGACTAGAGCCAACCTAGTGATGATTTATGGAATCATTTTCTACTCATTATTTTTGAGTGATAATAATGAGCTTTTTAAATGAAATTGACTTACTTCCCAGGAATATTACTTGATCGTGTGGTTTGAGCTTTGTAGCTTTTTTTTTTTTCTTCATAATCTGATTTGGTTGCTGAAGTGCTATCAAAAAAGGCATTTTATTTTTAAAAAGCGGGGGATAAAGGCATGAAAACAGACAAACTGGTCAGTGTTTCTTTACTAAGAAATAACACCTGATTGATTTTAGCTGTTTGATTTGGGTGGGTATACATAGTTTACACTTTTTGGAAAGAATAGGAAAAGCCGAGGTGAGGGCCTGTGGGCTTCGGGGGAGGGCAGCGGCACCTAGTGGGCTGCCCTGCTAGGTTTATGGGGCGAGAGCCAGGCGTCCAGGGGCTGTTGTGTCCCTGCCCACCGCCTGAGCTCAAAGAAGAGCAGGACGGGCGAGTGAGAGTGGAGGACCGAGGACACTTGTCTGGGGAGGGCTTCTGGGTGCCCCGAGGCTTCTGGTGAGCAGGGGAAGCTTGGGGCTATGGAGGAGCCCATAGTCAGCAAATGCCAACGGTCAGGTGACCCCCGGGCTGGGCTGCAGCAACGCTCTGGGCTTGAGGTTGTGGGTGGTCGCTTTTCCTTTAGCCCATAGTACACCGGGTGGGAAGAGGGGGGAGCTGCCTGCAGGCATCTCAGATTTCTCCTGGCCTGACCCTTGGGGCATGCACTGCGACCCTGTAGGAATAGGAGGAAGTGCCGGAATCTTGCATTCAGGTTATTACCCAACTAACATTGACGGACAGTAATGATGATGCTGGAGATGTTTCACTGATGCAGAAGAGACAGTTAGTAGACCAAAAATCCAAAATCAGACATCCAGTGGCATCATTTTTCCATTTGTTCTTTCGAGTCAGTGCAATTATAGTCTGTCTTCTGTGTGGATTGCCTGTATGGTGACCATTATCTTGTTGTCATGTGACTTTTGGGCAGTGAAGAATGTCACAGGTAGATTAATGGTTGGCCTGTGTTGGTGGAATCATATTGATGAGGATGGAAAGAGCCACTGGGTGTTTGAGTCCAGGAAGGCAACTTCTCAAGAGAATAAAAGTGTTTCAGAGGCCGAATCAAGAATATTTTGGTTAGGACTTATTGCCTGTCCAGTGTTGTGGGTGATATTTGCCTTTAGTGCTCTCTTTTCCTTTAGAGTAAAGTGGTTGGTGGTGGTTATCATGGGTGTGGTGCTACAAGGTGCCAGCCTGTATGGTTACATCAGGTGTAAGGTGGGCAACAAGAAGAATTTAACCAGCATGGCTACCTTGTGTCTCCGGAAGCAGTTTTTAAGACAAAACACTGGAGATGACCAGGCTTCCTGAGTAGAGAGAAAGCTAATGTGTTCTGTTACCTTGGGGAACAATTGAAGAGATTCTTCACTCTGAACCGTTTAGAGCTCCATTCATTTTACAAAGAAGAGTGTTGGGTTTGTTTTTCTGCTTAAAAACTTTATTTAAAAAAGGAAATAGGTTTCATATTATTTTTATTTTCTTTCAGTGGTTGGGGCTAGAGAGTATAGTATCATCAGAAACATTGTCAGAATTTGTTTTATGGTATACATGTGTATGCACAACCATGTAATAGCAGTGTATCCCAAGTTAATGTGTTCATTTACATATGTAACAGATCTTTACATATTGATCCATAGCACATAGGACGATGTTCTTAGTGTGTTTCATAGTTCCGTGTGTTTACGTATTATTTCTATAGATTATTTTCAGAAGTAAGGCTTTGCGGGGGGCAGTACCGGGGATTGAATTTAGGACCTCACACTTGCCAGGCAGGTGCTGTGCTGCTGAGCTACTTCCCCGGCCCAGGAGTAAGTTTTGATTCTTTGTAAAACTGAGCACTTTGGCTTATATATGAGTTAGAAAAATTAGAAATAATTGTTCATTTTTAATATGTACTTTATGGTGAAATTTGGCTTATATATGAGTTAGAAAAGTTAGAAATAATTGTTCATTTTTAATATGTACTTTATGGTGAAATTTCTTATCTAAGAAATACAAGTAGGTAAAAACAAAATTCAGGCCAGTAGTGTTGACTAGTTTCTAAAATTATATTTTTATCTCTAGGCCAATAATATATAAACAGAATGTTCATAGTTTATGTCTAAGGTATACCTAGGGATTGCTGCTGTTTTATTTATTTTAGGGAAAGGATAGTGAGATTTTACTTTGGAAATCCCTGGAAGCCTTTCAGTGGTCTTTGGACTGACTAATAAATCTTACTTTTACCACTAAAAGACTATTATTCTTATGGTAATGAGAATAATCTTTTGAATACCTGGCATAATAAATGCCTAAGACATTTTGTTTTATGAATCTATTTTTTTTCTGCTATGATGAGGATATTGTAAATCATACATTTATATTAATGGTATTTCTTAAAGCAATATATGTAACTAAACTAAACTGATCTACAAACTGTAGGCATCTGTAAATTCTGTTGTAGGTACTATAAACTTCATTGGAGTCTTAATGGGGGCAGATTATGTTGTGACTGTATTATTAAAATACATTGTTGAAATACTTTAGACATTTTGTTAAATTGAATAAGTGTTTTTTTTGGAGTAGTAACTTGGAAAGTGCATAACTTTATATTTGTATAAAGCTCTGTTGTTTACAAAGCAAAAAAAAAAAGAATAGGAAAAGCCTGTTCCACATTCTTCAGCGATGAGAGTCACTGGTTACTGCTGCCAGCTACGCTAAGGCTGAATTGAAGCAAAGTCTGTAGTTTAGATGTACATAATTACACCCTATGTTATGTAGGTCAGCTACCCAGATTTCTTCCTCCTCGGGACCATGACCCCTAGCTGTGGCTCTGGGTTATGTATGTAGGGCAGTTAGTAGAGATGACCCATCCATGATTGGGTAGAAAATGATCTTTCGTAACCTAATAACCTTCCAGGATTGGTAGGCTTGAAGATTACTTAGACATCTCTCAACCTTAGTTCCATGTGTGTAGAATTTGCCTTATTGTGTAAAGAGAAAAAAAAATCATGGATCGCTCAGAAGACTTTATAGACAGCACAAAATAAAATTGAAAAGACTGACTGAGATGAATTTTAAGGTAGGTGCTAGCAGAAATATATACCTAGTAAGACATCTTTCGGTATTAAGTACATGAATGGATTGATACAGTAACACCTGTCTGGCAGTTAGTGAGTTTTATTGAGTACCAGGAAGAAAGATAGCCAGTCATTTAAGTCCCATTGAAAAAGTGAGGCAGCCCAATGAAATAGGAATTAAATTTTATATTTGCTTTTAAAATTATACAAAAGATGGGAAAGAATTCCCCTTTGACTTTTTTACAGACTTTTTTGTTTTTCATTTTTTCTTGGTACTGAAGATTGAACCCATGGCTTTAGCACTGAACTACATCCCCAGCCTGCCCTCCTTCCCTTCCTTTCTTCCTTCCTTCCTTTGTTTCTTTCTTTATTTTTCCATATGGGATCTCTCGTTAAATTACTAAGTGGCCCAGAGTGAGCTCAAACTTGTGATCCTCCTGTCTCAACCTCCCAGAGTGCTGCATTTACAGGCATACACCACTACACTGGTTCTTTTTACAGATACTGCGTAGGAAATGTTTATGACCTACAGTTGAAAAGAGGCAGTGTTTTGTTTGATCAAAATACTATTTTATAGGGCTGAGGATTTAGCTTAGTAGTTCTGTTGCCTGCCTTGCAAGCGCAAGGTCCCAAGTTCCATCCTAGTACAAAAAAGAAAACAATACTATTTTTTAAGGTTATAGCTGTAAAATATCTAAGAATATCAGTGGTGAACAAAATAAATATACAAGCATTTACATAATACTTAACCTTTTGAAAGGTGTGCCTGATCTTTAAAGCATGTTAACCTTTCTTAAAAATGATAATAAAGGAAGTTGAAGCTTAGATTTCAGGATAAATTTAGAAGAATACCAAGGAGCAGTTTTTCTGCTATGGATTTATTTAAGTTTAGTCAAACTTTGTGTAATGGCATACAATTTAGGACTTGAAAAAAGATGTGGTCTCCTACCATGAGGAATCCCTCCTGAGGGCACAAGATATTTTTATGGGATGGTAAGCAGATTGAAGAAATGAATTCATATGCTAAATAATAGATGTTTTCATTGAAAGGGCAATTCATCAGATCTGTTTTAATAAAATTAATTATGAAAACTATGAGATGAACTAATTAAATGCTGACTGAATATAACCTATTTGGGGGTAACACCCCAGGCTGATAAAGGCTCAGTGGAAGTATGTGTTCTCCTTCCTTGCCATTGACATTATCATCAGGCAGCATAGCAGCAGTGTGGAGAAAGAGCTATAAAGATTCCTGTATCAGGCCAGAGATGTGGTTCAGTACTAGTGCACTTGCCTAGCATATGGGAAGTCCTGGGTTTGACCCTAGGACCCACAGGGAAAAAAATGATTCCCATATTCTTTGACTCTGGGCAAGCTTGGGAATTATTGCAGGGAAACAATTAATTAGAAAAGCAAAAGAGTTTAATCAGAGCCGTGCTGAGATTTATGCTAAGTGTTACATTGCCTGACAAGACACTATTTTGTAATTTTGTCTAATGCTTTTTATGAAAAGGTTAAAACTCCATTTTTTCTAATCCTTAAGAATGAGCAATTACACCTTTTTGGGGAAAAGAGTAGACCAAAAACTTATGGTAACATTAGCTGTCATAGTAAAACATTGGAATCACTTCTGGGTCTTGTGTTGGGGTATTGGTACACTATCAAAGCAGAATACTCTGCTGTTATTACATCATGAGGCAGAAGTGTAATCACTCTGATTCACATGTCCTATCCAGTATGATTGCAACAATATTAAAAATATATGAAAGGTAATATATAAAAGTGAAAATATAAATGTGGTTTACATTTGACTTCCAATTTTTGTAAATTGTTAATATTATAATGTCTATTTAATTTTTTAAAAGATAGAACATAGCCTGCCTTTTATAACTTACGAAATTTTTGGATGAAAAAATTCAAAATAAGCACAAAGGATCTGGGGGGAGGGTTGAAAAACAGATATTGTTATATGTGTTTTATTAATAAGTACATGTTACATTTATTTTAAGAATTACATGGATTATTTATCTCGACTGTATGAAAGAGAAATCAAAGATTTCTTTGAAGTTGCAAAGATCAAGATGACTGGTACAACTAAAGAAAGCAAGAAGTTTGGTAAGCATAGGCATGTTGGTCTTCCTATTAAGATTGGCTTTATTTATGACATAATTCTTTGACTCTTTGAACAAGGTAGAAGAAGATGCAATAGATTTAATGAAAGAGGTCTATTACATTTCATTTACAGGTGTTTCATAGAAAAATACATATCTGTAAATATGTTTTTACTTATTAGAATTCTACAGTATATTACTCTGGCAGCCATTGTATGGTCAAGCTATAACTAAAAATATATTCATAGGAAAAGTACTTGGTGAGAAAATGAAGGGTAGTCTGATAGAGAAATTATTAGACCAAAGTTTAGAGTTCAATTTCTGATTCCCAGAAAGACTTTTTTAACAGTTGGGTGTTATTGATCACTGAAGTCATTACTTTCTACAGAGAAATGAAAGTGATTCCTGGCTTTTTACTTCTCATTGGCTATTTTGAATCAAAAAAGACAGTTTAAGTATCTCTCCCTTACTAACGGACTACAAAAATGTCACCAAAATTTCCCATCATTATAACTTACTTTTCCAAAACAGTATGTTTGGAACATGTTACTAGTTACTTCTAAATACTTTTAAATGAACAAAAATGTTATTTGAAGAAATAGCCACTGGAAGTATCAAGTCAAGGAAATGTTGTGTCGAGGCCACGTTCTGCTCTTGCATGTACCATCTCTGGAGTTCCCTCTGGATGGACTTCTGTGCCTATTCAAGTCCAGACCTGGCCATAAAGAGCCGCTGGACTCCTCCCTGTGTCTGCATAGCCCCCCTTTAGAATAATGAGTTTAGCATTTGCTTGTTGGAAGGAGCCTATGCCTAAGCAACTCTTGTCATCAGGAAACAGGATTGGAAATTGATAGTGCATGTTTTTACTCTTTAGGGCAGAGAGACTGTCTTCAGTAGGTAATTATTTTTTTTTAAATACAACACCAATATATATATCTATAATACTATTATAGATATATATATTATACTAGTCCAGACATTTGAAATGGTTTGAATTTGTGAATATGCTGCAGTTAGGTAAAGGTACTGATATGAATCTTGGGGTAATAGGCTTTTGAAAACAGAAATGCTAACTCATCCTAAAGGTTAATTGTTCTTAAACAGCAGTGTGTTTATATCTTTGTTAATGTTTCACTGTGGATATGTTATGCTTTTTTTGAGTAAAGAGCATATTATTAATGCAGTTACGTGTTTAATGTTTTCATTAAGTATTTTGTTGTCACTTGTTAGTGAATCATTTTATATTGCTAGATCTCTTCAGTGTATAAAAACAAGTCAGATCCACATTAAGATGAATGAAATAAAAAATAGAACTTTAAATCAAGTGTAATAGTGTCTTAATGTTATCATTGCATTAATCTGAGACCTGAACTTTGAGAAGTTCTTAAATTATCTTGTTAAAAAATATTTTTAATTCACACAATACAGGTTTAGAAGGCACTTTTGTAGTCTTAAAACAATGGTAAAGTTCTTGATGTCTATTAAATACTAAAGAATTGGAGAGTAATTTGTGACAATTTATGGCCTGGAAAATTGTAGTCTCAGCCATTTTTATATTAGCTACAGTATAAGAAAAACTAATTCAGAAGATGTAAAAACAGTTTGGTTCATCTTTGAAACCCTAATTTAATAGCATTTTAAAAGTAAATTTAAGCTAAATACAAATGACTTGAGAAGTTCTTAATAATGTAGACTATAAACCTTTTCAAAGATTTTTTTTGTGATCCAAATTATGTTTAAGTGAATTTTTAATACTAATTGTAATTAAAATAGAAATCTCAAAATTAAGAGTGATAACTTTTCAGTGAGTCAAAATTAAGTAAATCTAAATGACATTTAAATTGCTTTTATGTATTTCTTGCTGTGAAAATTCTAGGTCACAGATGCTGATGAAACATGTTCATGAGAATAGCAAGATGGAATGTGTCTTATAAAGGAAATTAATCAGTATAGTATAGAAAGTTGGACAAATACCTCTCAGCTCAGGTCTTTAATATTTCCTTAACTCAAATAATTCAAAATATGTTAAAGAGGCCAGGAAAGTATCTTTTCTTTTTGGCGAAGACTTAACATAGATCATTGGCTTTTCTGATTAAAAGATTTACTTTGATATCATCAGAGGCTAAGGATTTTTACCCCAGGATTGATATTTTCCTTCATATTCTACAAAATCACCTGTTTTTTGCTTTCTAGAATTTAAAACCATATGTGAGATTTTAGTTCCTTAATATGTACATTTATATAATTATTAGTCCCCCTCATATTTAATATTCTAAAGTCTTGTAAGTACAGGGTCAAAATTCATCTTATGATTGTTTCTCCACTAAACTAAAATCTTACTAATTTCAAAGGTAATCTTGATACAAAGCTGAATTCAGGGATGATTAGAAGATTAATTCAATAAATATTTATCGATTACTATATACTTATATAATTACTATCATATAATAAGCACTAGTACTGAGAGTGCAGCAGTTATGCTGGGTATTATTTTAAAATAATTTATTATTTATTTAAAACTTTACCTGAATTTTGTCACTTGGTGCTGATAAATAATACAGACTGTTTTTGTATGCCCAAAATTATAATTAATAAGCGCTACTTATTTATTTATTTAATATTGGCTACTCTAAAAAGTAAACTATATGAAATATTAGGCTTTTCCCTGGAACTTGTGAACATAGCATAATAGCACCTTAAAACCTCTGGAAAGTACTGTTCTGATAGACTATCAGCTCCGCTGTGATCCCTGTTTGCCATTTTAATGTCTGGGATTCTCATTTCATATTCCCTTAAACTTAAGGTAGCCCTGAAGGCTGGGAATATCTATGGGTCACTCATGTGACAAGTTAGGCCCTTACACTTGGGCTTTTGTCTTAAGTGTTGCAGACATGGGGTCAGTTGACACATTGTTCTATTTTTAAGATATTTTAGGTTTTAGTTATATTCCTTAGTTTTCTGTTTCATTCTATGATTTCTTTCTTTTCATATTATCTTCTAATTTGAGTTTAGAATATTTCAGAGGATGAGCTTCAAAATTGATCTATAAGTAATATATAGAACAAAGTTTTTAAATAATTGCCAAATGACCCTAAAGGAGTTAAAATTCCTTCATTAAATCTGTACCCTCAACTTTACCCTTCCTTCCATGAATTTCCTGATTGTTAGTATTTTGATGTGTACTTTAAATTGTTCACAAGCCCATTATGAAGTAATACAGCTTGATATTTGGTTTTAATTTTAAAATGGTCTTAAAGCCCCACATATATTTTTTTATCAGATGTAGGATAAAATTATTTTGTACATTGATATTCCTTTCAGGAATGTAAGATTGCTAATGTCCAAATCTACAACTTCATTCTAATAAATTTCCACTGTATTGTCTTATCACTTGGACTACATTTTCTCAGGAAACCAAAGCTTACAAATTTAGTCTTATAAATTATAAGTGTACCAGCTTCCTAAAGTTAAAAAAATAATAAATCATTTAAAAGTATATGGGAAGGGGTTGGCAAATATATTTTTTCCTGAATATTTGAATAAAAACAGTACATTAAAAGACTAGTAAATTTTTTCTCTTATACTTTCTCAAATAGTAGCTGACCAACTAAACATGTGTTTGCATTTCTTGTTACTTGATGCTCATGGTTCTTTGCATGTGTCTTTTAAACTAGCTTTAACTTCCTCTTGTGCATGGTTTGTGCAAATTGCAGTTTATTAACTTGTCTTTGTCTTTGATGCTTGCAACCTAATCCATCACAGCTACACTGCCTCGAAAAGAAAGTGCTGTCAAACAGGAAACAGAGAGTGAGTATGCTTAGTGTATTAGCAGGTATTCTTAATGCATGTTTGTTTAATGTCTAGAAATTAGTTATTTGTCTTGAAAACGTTAATGCCAGAAATATTGATTGCTCAGAATTGCCAGGTATTGAATAAAGAAAACTAGTATTTTGGTAGTAGTTTGGCTGTATCAAAGAAATACATAACATAGTTAAAATTATATGGTCAGTAGTAAAATTTTGTGTCAAAAATTATGCAAAGACTTAACCATCATACTTCTGTTTTCAGGCTGCATTTAAAAACTATCAAAATTCTTACAGATGTGGTCAGATTTTGCATAATAAAGCCAAAGTTTATCTTTAATTGTCCTTATTATGTCTTCATTTTGCCCTTCTGACCATTAGCGATTAGTACAAGTTAATTGAGAACTATTCAAGAATGCTTTTGAAATATTTTATTATTTGTATTGAATTCTGAATCAAAGCATCATATTTTCTTCTAAAAACTTAAATTCTTTAAATATTCTCATTTTACCTCAGGGCTATGATGAATACCTAAACTCAGATACCTTATATTGTATGGTTAGTGATATACACATTACATTTCAGTTCTGTTTTAAATGTAAGAAGTCCTCAGATTTTTTTTTTCTTTGCATTTTCTAGTTTTTAAAGAATTGTTAAACAGTTCACTAACTGGAAAAGCAGTTTCTAGGATCAAGAGTATATTAAGTTAAATCATATGTAATCGAGGATTTTTGTAAGGCAAAGTGATCAAATATTGGCAGTTTCAAATCATTCAACCTAATACACTGATTTAATGTGGGGGGTGATTAATACTGGAATATGGCAGTTTTCTGCAGAAACATAGCAAAGTCATGCTAGCTTGTATGCTAACATGGCACTCAGTGACCTTTGTTCATATTCCTGTCTTTTGGATGGTAAAGAAACTTTCATCAACTTTAGTCTAGAGATACCACCAGACAGCTTTATTTTTATGATAGGACTAGGCAGGGCATAGATTATATGATCTTTAAGGACCTTTCAAGTCCTTTGTATGGATCTGTATAGTTTTACTTCTCTTTACACTATGCTCTAGAATAGGACACAAATGTTAATAGAAAATAAGGACACTGTACAACCTATCCCATGTGGTAGACTTGTACACTAACTAATAGGAGTCTTGGAAAACCAACACAGTAGAAGTTGTCTTGTAGAAGGCAACTCTCATTTATACTCTGGAGTTTTTATTCATGAAGATCACAACTTTCAAAGTTTTATTTTTTCTTAGGTCTTCATGGAAGTTCAGGAAAATTAACTGGATCTACTTCTAGTCTAAATAAACTCAGTGTTCAGAGCTCAGGGAATCGCCGATCCCAGTCATCTTCTCTGTTGGATATGGGGAACATGTCTGCCTCTGATCTTGATGTTGCCGACAGAACCAAATTTGACAAGGTGAAATAAAATAACAAGTACTTCTTAAATTTTTTTTTTTTTGGTACAGGGGTTCGAACTCGGGCCCTTACGCTTGCAAGGCAGGCGACAGAACCACTGGGCTAAATCCCCGGCCCTACTTCTTAAATATTAACATTAGTTTTCTATTAGCAGCTTGTGATTGCTTACCTGTGTTTAAAGATTTAGGCTCTTTGGGCTGTCTTTAAGACATTAACCATGTCTTTCTTTCCCATTCTGAATTGAATCTGAAAAATATATACTAACCAAATAACAACTAAAATGTGAATTTTCAATTAAATGACATAAAAGCTTTGTTAATGTTTATTTTTTATAAATCATAAAATGTTTGCATCTCAAAACTAAGTTATTTGAGCAAGTACAAAGAGGTCATAACAGCTTAACCAGTTTCTGCACTACATCAAGTTTTAAAAGTTTATCTTTGTGTTCCTCTTTCCAGATTTGAAGTGAGTAACTGTAAATTTTATTTTAGGTCCGTTCTATGGCCCAATAGAACCTTGATAATACTGTATTTCCCTGCCAGTCTTGGAAGAGTTTGTCTTTGGGATTCTGTTGAGATTATTGAGAGTATAGCTCCGGGGTCCATGCAGAAGAGTGAATTAAAGATAGAATGTTATTTCAAGCATCTGGTACAGTTCTTTCATTATAGAATCACTTTGGTTTTCCTTAGATCTTTGAGCAGGTGCTAAGTGAACTGGAGCCCCTATGTCTGGCAGAACAGGACTTCATAAGTAAATTTTTCAAACTGCAGCAACATCAGAGTATCTCTGGAACTATGGTATGGCTCCAATTTATCTTGACTAGTATTTATGGCCTGTAACATAATTAACGTAATTAACATGTGGTCACAATTTCTGTATCCTAACAGAAAAGGAAAAGATTTGCAATGTAAGGATCTTCAAAACATTTTATCGTACTACAAATTAATTAAAACAGTGATATTTGGAATCTGGGCATCTGATATTCCAGAATGTCTTAAGCCTCAATATTCTCCAAATTAGCAAAAGGGACAAGTGTCTGAGTTAACTTCATAACCTTATTCAGAAAGCAGTTTTAACATTTTAGTAGTTACCAAGAGAAAAAAAATAGATCATGTTTGAGTTAGCATACTGTGGTAGGAAAAAGAAAAGTGAGCCTCAGATCTGAGTCTGGATGTATTTTACGATTTTGTTACTAACTAGCTAGAGACCTTAAGCCAATTATTTAATCCCCAGTTTTCCTCTCCTAAAATGACTGTAATGATCCTTATTCACCATTGTCTTTCGGGTTTCAGAAATGTAGGAGAATAAAGTGAGAGATTTTTGTAGAATATTTTGAAAAACTTAAAACCGCAATACAGTTGACTAAAAATACAATTTTGTTGTTGTGGGGATTTTTTTGTTTTTGTTTTTTGTGGTCCTAGGGATGAAACCCAGGCCTCATGCGTGCAAGGTGAGCACTAGAGTGATTTTTAAGTTAACAGCCAATATATAAAAAGCAGTCATTAAAAAAAAAATTAGGGGTATGGTGCCCTCACCTTAGAGAAATAAATACTTTAGAGCAGATTCTCATTGTAAAAAAAAAAAGCAGTCATAAATTAAAATTCATTCTTACTAGAAATGGTTAGGATTTCATTGTTGCTGATGGTGATAGTGATAATAAGTTTGCTAACTTGGCTTCTGTAAGAATTTTTTATCACATTCTTTTAAATGCTGAAATTTTATTAGAATGTTTGATGAGATTTCCTTAAAATTTTATGTTCTTTTTAGAAAGTTGGTTTTGGACATTTTCTCTTTTTTTGTTGCGCTTCTTTCCCATTCCCAGTACCCATCCAGCCTCCTGTACCCTTCCTCCTCCTCCTTGCCTGTCACACAAATACAACTTCTCACCCACAATAATTCTAGCTAAGATCTGAGAACAAAGTATTTCATGAACATTCTTAAGCAGTATATAAATTATATGGTTTTATTGGTAATACTACCACGAAAAATTACTTTTTATAATGTATTCTCTCCTAGGTGTTTTAGGACTGAGCAGGCTTTGCTATATAAACTAGTCAAATTGTTGGTCTTTTATTATGTAAAGTGCCTGAATAATTTTTGCAGACTGAAGCAGAGGACTTGGATGGAGGAACATTATCACGGCAACATAATTCTGGCACACCACTACCTGTTTCATCGGAGTATGTATTTGTCACTATTATTTATTTTGAAAAAGTTAAATGAAAAAATGAAGAAGTACTGCTCACTGAGGGGCCCAGATGATTCTCAGTAACCTAAAAACACCCAGCAGAAACATGAATGCCCACTGTCTCAATAGGAACATTTTGTTGGATTAAAATTGGTCCTGTTTGTATAGTCCGGTTGAATGTCTACTCTTCTCTCCAATAGTCACAGAAGATTCAAGCAGTTCTGATGTGTGCTGATTGGAGTAGCCTTTGAATTGTATATTTCTTAGAAATCACAAAGCACATATCAGGACCAAGCTTTACAAATGACATAAAGCTAATTTAAGTGATAAATCTTACCTTCAGTAAAATATTTTTATCTTGGAAAGCTGCTATAGAATAATTCACCATATTTGGATGTTTTAAATTGAAACATCAAAATTTAGTCATTTGTGTATTCTGTAGTAGGTTAAAAATAAAGGCAGATTCACTAGATGCTCGTAATAACTTTATATTTTCTGTGTGTTTTCTGAACAGGAGAGATATGATTCGCCAAATGATGATTAAAATATTCCGCTGCATTGAGCCAGAACTGAACAACTTAATTGCATTAGGAGACAAAATTGATAGTTTTAATTCCCTTTACATGCTAGTCAAAATGAGTCATCATGTATGGACTGCACAGAATGTGGACCCTGCTTCTTTTCTTAGTACTACATTGGGAAATGTTTTGGTGACTGTCAAAAGGAACTTTGACAAATGCATTGTAAGTTTTATTTAAGGATTCTAATCATTGTTTAAAAAAAAATAGGTAAATGTATTTAAATCAAGGGATTTCCAGCTCTCTTTTGGGGGTCTAGTGTTCATTCCCTTGAAACTTTGAAAACAAATTGTTGACATCAACCTGTAGAAGCAGTTGGATGGTACTGTAACAGCCAGGTTGGCTTCTGTGCTGTGACTCTTGGCGAGTTCTGGAGTGGGCGGCACAGAGGCAGCACTTAGCTTAAGATACCCCTGGGTAACTGACATCACAGTTTACTGATCAGTGACCGGTGATTGAATGAAACAAGTCAAGCTAACACTTGGATTTCTTGTCATAATTCTGTTCATATATTCTAATGAGAAAACTAATTTGATTAATTGATAGTTTCATTTCTTAATTTTAGTAATAGCTTAATTTCAACTATCATATCACTTTAAGAATAAATTTTTCAGGCTGGGGATTTAGCTCAGTGGTTCCAGCACCTGCCTCGCAAGCACAAGGTCCCGAGTTCGATCTCCAGTACCAAAAAAAAAAAAAAGAATAAATTTTTCATATAATTTCAAGAAATCATTTCCCTTTTTCTTGAAAAGAATCATTAAATTTTTTGTTTGATTTTTTTTTTTTTTGCTACCATAAATCGAACTCGGGACCTTGTGCTTGCGAGGCAGGTGGCAGCACCACTAAGCTAAATCTCCAGCCCCTTGTCTGTCAGATTTTAATCAACTTGTAGGTGTGAATTGAGCTGATCCAGTTTCAGCTCCCTGATGTACTTACTATTTAAATGGACATGTATTTGAGTATTCCTACTGTGGAACTGCTAAGTTATATCGACCTCTTGACTATCCATATAATAATGGGAGATAAAAATACTAAGGCACTTAAAATCCTTGTCATTTTTTATACCTGTAAAAAATAATATTTAGCTTTTAAAAGTATAAAAACAATCTGTATCTACTCTAGAAACTCAAATGTCACCTCATTAAGCTTATTAAACCTCCTTCCCTACCAAATGATTTCAGCTGATATTTGAAATGCAGTGAAATTTGACCATTTCAGGTTTTTCCTACCCCTCATTTCCCTCCCCCTTTTCACAAAAGTAGTGCTAAAACAAGGAAGGTCTGACTGCAGAATGATAGCTGAAAGGAAAAGGAAGAGCTACCAAAGGCCAAGATAATGAATCCCATGTGCCACAGTTGTAACATTAAATCAAAAGCACACTATGTGTTTCCAGAACATGATGTAAGTTCAAATAGTACCTTTTAACCCAGTAGAACACAGGGTGTAGCATCAGAGAGATAAAGACATTGGTTCAAGTGAAATGTTTAGCACATTTCCTGGTATAGAATGAGAGTTTTCTAACTGATAGCTTGCATAGTTAATAAAGGCTTATTAGAAGTGGTCATATTACTTTCAAGACAGGGCAATGGAGAAATGACAGAACTTAGACAGAGGTATAAATTCACATTTTCTCCTAAATTGCATGTATATCTAAAGGCCTACCTATTACCACTAAAGAGAAAGATAGTTCTTTTTGCCACCTTTCATTACACTGTCTCTTATTTTAACTCAGGTCTTCTGGTGCTATCTGTCAGACTTTGTGTTCTCAGCAGGGTTATATCGTTTGGTCTTTGGGACAAGAGCAGAACCTAGGGCATAAAGAAGTTAAAAAGGTATTGGTCTTTGTATATTGAGCAAAATGCATGAGTGTCAAGTGGCTGCAGAAAATGGGACAAGATAGCACCTGAGTTCAGCTAAGTATCTGGTATTCTTCAAAAAACACTAAGAAAATAGCCTTACTTATACATCAGATACTACCATGCTGGACTTTGTGGTCCAGTACTTTTTTAACTGTGTTTCATTTTCTTTTCAAGCTTCTTCACACTATAGTGATACAGATTTGCACTGTTACGTTTAAGAATTATATGATTTAGTTAAGTTGCCATGGAAAAATAATGATACATGACTGTTGTCAAAGTTGTAGTCTCATGCACTGAATAGCCTCCATGTGCTTCTAATGATGACATTAGAACGAACTGCAGTAATGCATACATACAGCATGAGAGAAATCAGGATTTTTGTCAGAATTTGTTCATTGATGGCTCTTTTCTTAATGCAGTATTACTTGTCACAAATCCAGAGAGGACAACTGTCACTTAAACATTTCCTGGGTCTGAGAGTGTGGCTCAGTGGTAGAGCTCATACTTAGCATGCCCAAATCACTGGACTCAATCTCCACCCCACCCCCAAATGTTCTGTTAATGATCAAGTATCTTCAAACATTAATCTAATTCTGAAAAATAGCTGCCTGCAGCTTAATAAAAATAGGCCAGCATTCATAGATGAGTGCTTACTGTGTACCAGGCACAGGTCTAAGCATTTTGCACACCCTGTCTAAGTCTATCCTCACAACCCCATCCCTTCCCTGTTAGGAAAGTACCTCAAGATACAAAGATACTTTCATCAGCAGTAAAATAGTGATGGAGCTTCTGGTCAAACCCAGCCAAACCTTCAAACCAAACTTTCTACTGCATCTATTTTTATACCTCATAGCTATCAATACTGATGAAATGGAACATTAGAAAAGAGAATATGAAATAGTTAACAGTACTCATGAAGTGTTGTACTAATACCTACATCCTAAAACTAATGATTTTTCTAATCCATATTTCATATGGTTTTCAAGTTATATTCCCAAAATCTCAATACAATGAAATTTTAGGAAGAAGTTCAAATGATTTGGCAGTTTAATTCTTACTGTGAGTAGGTCTAGATCCCTTGAAAATTACATAGAACCATAATTAAATCCATAGATCTTTTGAGCCCAGATATCTGCATTCATCTAGTGAAACTTCCATTTTGTACTTTCACAATCCTGCGCAAGCATTGGTTTGTTGGACCAATTTTACATCAGCAACTAATATATGGAAAACTAATGAAAATCTATTATAGAAAAGCCTGTCCTGCCCTGGGAATGGCTATGAATCTCAAACTTGGCCTTATGGCCATCAACCAGAAGTAATTTGGAGAGAGCCTATATGTCCTCTGTTATCTGCTCTTATTTGACTCAAAATGAGCAGTCCCTTATCCTCATCTTTCAAAAATGATAGAAATATGTATTGATTGTTTTTACTTTGAAGAAAAACTTGAAGTTCATAATCCTTAATAGTATCTTACTTTACATAATTTTTCCTTGATTTTTAAAATAAAATATTAGAAATGTTTTAGAAAGATAGTTGATTCATCTTTCTTAGTTGTCTTTGTTGTGATTCATCTTCAGTAGGTCAAAGTGTAAAACATCATCCAGGCCAACCATGGTGGCACATGCCTATAACCCCAACGCTCAGGAGGCTGAGGCAGGAGGATTGCCATGAGTTCAAGGCCATCCTGAGCTCTATACTGAGTTCAAGGCCAGCCTGAACTGAATAATGAGGCCCTGTCTCAGAATAACAACAATAGAAATCCCAAAAACATTATCCAGATGTTCTAGGTACTAGTGTCCCACCTCTATGATATATGCATGTGATTATAGTAATAGTTTCTAAGTTGTTTGGCTGTTTCTCTCCCCTCCTTTCTGCCTAACTTTAGAGTAACCAAATAAGGCAAATGGAAGAAGTAAAGATCTCAAAGAAGAGTAAAGTAGGAATTCTTCCATTTGTTGCTGAATTTGAAGAATTTGCTGGACTTGCAGAATCAATCTTTAAAAATGCTGAGCGTCGTGGAGATCTGGATAAAGCATATACCAAACTTATCAGAGGAGTGTTTGTTAATGGTAAGTTTTTGTTATGTTCTAAAGAATTGTTATGGCTATTGTTTTCATTGTTTATTGTAGATGGAAAGTTGGGGACAGATATGTTCCTTATTTTTCATATCCTATATAGTCTCTTGTAGGTTTTCTGATATTAAAGATGTCTTAAATTAGAAAAATTAACAGTACATAAAACCTATGCTATTGATTAAGAACCATTTATAGTTTAGGGTTCATAGGGACTTGTCACTATGCAAAATTGAAAATCATTTTTTTAAACAAAAAATGACATCCTACATTAACATTTTAATAAGGGTCTTCTGAAGGTGACAGGCAAGTTTGACAAATCAGTTAGAACTATACAACTTGAACAAATCAATTCACATCTTTAGGCCATGGTTTTCATATATTACATAAGGCAGAGTAGTACTATGAGACTGTAATTCTGTCTTCCTGTGTCAGATCCCACAATTAAGTGAGAAAGTTTGGACATTCAATTTAATTTAAGTAAATAATCTGATTATACATAGTCATGAATTTTAAAAGCTAAAAAATGGGCAGAAAGTAGAATCATTCATCGATTTCATTATCATTTTCAGTGCAACCAAGTCTAGAGAAAAAACAAATTTCATGATTGGGTGTTTGAATGGTTCATTTTTCTTTTAAAATTCACAATAGCTTTGCTTTATATGATTATACAATAAAATAAAGTCTATTGAACACACCAAAAAAATCAAAATAAATTTTAAAAATAAAGATTATTTGTAATTTCTTTGTGCAGAGATATTTAACTTTCATTTTTCTAAACTTTTCAGTATCTCATTCTCTCATATATGTGCATGTAATTTATGTGTTCTTTAGTTTAAAATTTTTGTCATCTGTCACATTGTTTTGGAACCTGCTGAATTCTATACTCCTATTATCTATCCTAGTCAGTTACTATGGATAGTCATAAGCAGTTTTAATGACTGCATAGTCTTCTGTGTATCAATATTTACTTATCGAACCTATTACATGTATTAGTTTGTTTCCAGTTTATATGTCTTTGTATACTTTCAAATTTCCTTAAGGTAAATTACTAGAAATGGAATAACTGGGTAAAAGCGTTTGTGTATATATCATTATTTTCATCAAATTACACACTATCATAATATTACTGTAATTAGCTGTATTTTCTTTGGTACTTATGATTATATTTATCTGTTTTTTACTTTTTAAGTACTTGATCAATTTAGAATTGAGCTGAAAGATACAAAATAGTGAACTAACTTTAGTCTATTCAAAAAGATCAGCTGATTGTCCTAACATACTTTAAATAACTCATTATTTCCCTGCTAATTTTAAAGTCACCTTTTTATATATTGAATTCTCATATGTATATGCAGCTGTTTTAGGATGACTTACTATGTTCTGGTGGATATAAAGACCCTCCAGTATGCTATATATTGTTTAGTATAGAAATGTGCTTAATTCTTTTGAATATAAAGACCCTCCAATGTGCTATATATTTTTTAGTGTAGAAATGTGCTTAATTCATAAACTTACAAATGAAAAAATAATCACATAACTACGGTTATAACTAAATATGGTCATATTCATATCAGAAATATTTTTATTCTCCTTTAATTATAGTGGAGAAAGTAGCAAATGAAAGCCAGAAGACCCCGAGAGATGTGGTTATGATGGAAAACTTTCACCATATTTTTGCAACTCTTTCTCGTTTGAAAATCTCATGTCTAGAAGCTGAAAAAAAAGAAGCCAAACAAAAGTATACTGATCACCTTCAGTCTTACGTCATTTACTCTTTAGGACAACCTCTTGAAAAGCTAAACGTAATGTATTTTTCCTGGTTTTGAACCTGTATACATCTGTTTACACATGAATAACATATAGCTACCATAAATTTCCTGGTTCATTGACACGGGATGTGGAAGGAGGGACTCCGTTTTTGGAACTCCCAGTGTGCCAAACACTGCTGGATGGTCTTTGTACATTATTCTTTTTCATGCTTGTTAAAAAATGATTGAACTAAGGTAATAGTGACCCCTTTTACAGATGAAGAAACTGAAAGTAAATAAACTTGCTGTCATACTAGCTTTAGCAAAATGGTAGGGTGAACATAGACTGGGCTTTTCCATCTCCTAAGTGACTGACCTTTATGCCTACTTCAGGTGACTATTTCAAAAACTTTGTCAAGGTAAAAGGAAAGTCAAACTTTGTTTTGTACTTTTCATTTGCCTTTTCATTTCTTTTTTTCCTGACTTACAACCTTTCCCAGAGCAAATTTAACAAAGTTAAAAAATCATGGTTTTAGAGAACTATATAGCAGAACCTTAAATAGGTCCTTCTGACTTTGTCCACAATGTAAACAGTCATCCTGAATAAGCTTTTAATTTGAAATTAGAATCAAAAAACATGTACAGTGGACCCTCGAGTTACAACCAACATAACATACAAACAACTTGGGTTACGACCAGAATTTTAGTTTTGGCTGACAAAGTCTTGAGTTACAACCTGAATGCCCTCCGCTTGTGCTTCCAGTTGGTCACAGATTCAGATTTAACCCTTAAAGAGTTCTGGAAGAAACATTACAACATCCTTTCCTGTGTGGGGTTAACTGAAAAATCCTGGGCCAGTGTCTCTCTAAGGTCACTGAGATCTGCCTGTATACAGGAGAGAGACTTTGCAGGCTGTGTAGAGGAGCCTGAGCTTTCAGTTAACCAACTTCAGTTACAACCAGCCCTCACATCGTAAGTTGAGGGTCCACTGTATCTGTCAATAATTCAAAGAAATCTAAGAGACATTTAGTCAAATGAAGAACCAATTCCTTGTAAATTTCTTCAAACTTAAGAATAGACAGATACTCCTTTAATCAGATGAAATGTCACTGTAACAGATCTTTAAATCAGATCTGAAGTAGAAACATTACTAAATCTTTCATTACTTAACATTATTATTGAACCTCTGGTGAGTGGCATAAGCTCTGAAACATAAATAGGAACCATGGGAGAATCAAGATTATCATTCCCTATAGTGGTAAGAGTCAAAAGATACCAAAATTAATTTATTGACTGTACCTCAGTAACAAGTACTTAAAAGCTGCTATAGAAGCAAAAATTTAAAGCACCAGAAATAAAATTGGCAAAAGATAATTTAATGAAAAATAAAGAAGTGAATTTTTCTTAAAAAGTAGTAGGCTGTTGGGCCGGGGATTTAGCTCAGTGGTGCCACTGCCTGCCTTGAAAGCACAAGGTCTGGAGTTCGAACCCCGGTGCAAAAAAATAACAATAATAGGCTATTGACCTATTTATGAAATAAAATCACAGAGTTATTTTTCGCTCTGGCAGCAGTTGTTTTAAAAAAAGTAATGATAATGCAAGAAAGCAGTCTCATACACTGTTGACAAAAGAAATTATTGAAAAGCAATCTATACATATGGAGATCTTCAGAATAGTTGTACTCAAGTACATACAGTTATAGAAATTTATGCTGGAAAGGGATTATATGCACATATTTTTAAAATATTTATGACAGTTGTATTTATAAGATTTTAAAAAATATGACCAGATTTTGGCAACTCTCAAGAAAGGAAAATAATAGTTACTCAATATAGAGGAATGGATAAATACCTAAGTTGTCATTTAGTCAGTGGATGTAATATTATATATCCATTAAAATACATACTTAAGAAAACAAAAAGGTGTGCTCCCCAGTAGTAGTATATGTGAAGCACTGGGTTTAATTCCCAGCATCAAAATAATAAATGGAAACTGCAATATAGAAGTTAAGATTTAATTTGTGTACTCACATCAGAAAATTAGAAGGGAATCTAAAATATTAAGTGATTTTTCTCTGAGTTGTATAATAGGTGATTGTTACATTCTTTACCCTCTCTCATGTTGTCTGGTTTTTATACAGTGAACATATACTACTTTATAATTTGGGGGTTTTTTTAATTTCAAGTGATAATAAAAGTCATTCTTACCCATTATTTCTTTTCATTTCCTTGAAGCATTTCTTTGAAGGCGTTGAAGCTCGTGTAGCACAGGGTATAAGAGAGGAGGAAGTAAGCTACCAACTTGCATTTAACAAACAAGAACTTCGAAAAGTTATTAAAGAGTATCCCGGAAAGGAAGTGAAAAAAGGTCTAGATAACCTCTATAAAAAGGTTGATAAACATTTATGTGAAGAGGAGAACTTACTCCAGGTATGCTTCACTCTTTGGACCATTCTGGCTTGAAAATACATTACTTTTCTTCAAAACAGTCCTCTAGAAATACTACAGATTTTCCAATTGTAGAATAAGAGGGACATTCCACATAGACCATATTTTGGTTTTATTGTGGTAAGGCATTATGTAAGTTGTTTTTCTTTTGGTTGGATTCGTTTTTTGTTTATACAGTATTAGATTTTAGAAGAATAGGTAAATGGAATATATTTTAGTAGAATGGAGAGGTTCTGAGTGGGGATTAGAGTTAAAAACAAGTTCATAGATTAAGCCGCGTGACTCTTGGCAAGTTAACCTTTTTAAGCCTCATTTTCCTTATTTGAAAAGTGAAAATGATGCCTCTCTTCTATGGGCACTACTATTATTGTTATTGCCATTTTATACATAAAAGAAAAAAACAGAGCTAAGAAAAATGGAGTAATACAATAAAAATCTCTTAGATATGGGTAGTGAAGCCAGATTTAAACCCTGGATTAAGCCATTCTTTTATAGACTGTGCTGAAAAGCCCAAAGATGAATGAAAACAATTCTTATTTCAACATTATAGAGAGACTCGTGCAAGATATTAACATTTGTGTCAACTTCTGAAAGTCAGATAATATTTTAACAAGTAAAATGGGGAGGAGTGGCATTCTAGATGGAAGTAGTATAAACTAAGAGTAGGCTTCAGTAAATGTCTGTGTGTAATTCTGTCCTGATAGTTATCTACACATTAGTCTCTACTACTAGATTATAAATTACATACTTGATTGCAGATAGCTGGTCTGGATCATCTTGGAGTCCTCCACAATATCAAGTAGTGTTTTTTTTGTTTTTGTTTTTGTTTTTTTGGTACCAGGGATAGAACTCCGGATCTTGCAGTTGAGAAGCAGTCAAGTAGTGTTTTTTATCATTAATTTTAGATAAAGAAAAATATAAACTTTATTTGAAATGGAATTTAAACAGTAACTATTGCCTTTCATTTAATTGTTAATCCTGTTTCCATACATAATTGTGCATAGCCATATCTGTGTTGGATATTGGAGTATATATAATAATAGCTAAAACATAATGGGTGTGTCAAAGACTGTTCTGAGCTCTTTGACTATATGCACTCATTCAACCCTCACAAACAACTTAGGAGGAAGATACTATTAATACCATACTTCACACAAGGAACTTTAGTCACAGAGCAGTGATGTGATATACTTCTACAGTACTATACAAAATTCTTTTTGTTGTTGTTGTTAAATTCTTTTATTGGTACATTTTAGGTATACAACACAATTACATTTCTCATTGGGAATTGTACCTTTACATAATGCATCTTGGTTCTT